GACCCTCGCTCGCGTCCAGACTCCATCAGTTGTTTTCCGGTTTCATAGGTCGAGTCGGATCAACTCGGTAACCTGTTGGGTAGAGTTGGGCTCTGAATTTTTGGCCAATTTACAAAATCGGGTTAGGTTTGGGTCAACTCGTTTGGACTAGGGTCAAGTTCAAGCCTGACCCCCAAACCTGACCCGAAATCCATTTTGACACCCTTAGGGTACACGATGCTGGGGAGCTCGGGTACATAGCGCTGTACATGAAAAAAAAATTGAGTGCAAAGCACTCAAACCTAAGTAGGGGGAGAACCCTCTACAACCCCAAAGCAAGCCTGACATATTGAATTGAGGTCCGAGGTAGCAGTATAACCCAATTGATCATCACAGTTAGATTCCACACAAAACCAACAATAAATAAGCCGATGGGGGTCTAAATACAAATATTGATTTTTGTGTATACATGCTCTTCAATTTACTTCCATATGTAATTTTAGTTTTTGCACTTAGATTTCATTATTTATAGAATGTAGATTTAGATTTAACTATTGATCTATTATTGGTAAATTTGGAAGAAATTAAATTCTATATTGAGTTATTTTGTTATGAAGATTGACTATTTGTACATAAATCCAGGTACCAATTTAAATTAAAATCCGCCCATCAATTTCCTGCCATTGTCGTCTATCGTAAAGAATCCAAAACCAATGTAAATGTATTCTTGCTAAATAAACTTGTATGAATATTTCACCACAATAATGCAACCTTCCAAAGGTTTCCATTGTATTCACAGTGACATTTGGGGATATGCTAGAGCTAGTAGTTAATAGGAACCCGTTGATTTATATCCATATGAAGATATGTTGGGTATACCTCAACAACAACGATATTAAACCATTATCTTTCTACATGAATCATTTTTCTCCATTGTGTCTTGTTAAGAATTGGATTCTCATTTAAATCTAATAAAAAAAGGTCGTCTCTAATATTTTCTAATCAAGTCTTTTTAGGCATACATCGACATTTCTTAACATAGGCTAAAATCTAATACACCTACTCTCCTAATTGGGTAATCGGAAGACCAATATTTTATGTGTCCAAACCATCTAAGGCAAGGTTTAAAATTAGGTTATTAAGCCTCGAGGCGGTTTTCGTCCGTGAGGCGAGGCGTAAGCCTCACGGACACAGAATTGCGTAAATGAGAAATTAAGGGTTTTATCAGGATAATAATAGCAATATTCTATCTTACAATAAAAACATCTAAATGATATATGAAAATAGTGAAAAGTAACAAAATAGATGCAATAAAATCATGCTAGAAGTTTCAACTTCGCCGGAGAGAGGCGGCGTCGGCGGGAAGGGAAGCCGGCCGTAAGGACCGTGCGGGAGCTCTCTGTTTCGCGAACTGGAGCTGTGCAGGTAGGAAAAATTCGGGAGGAGCTGCTGCCGTGTGGGTTTAAGGAGAAAAAAACATTAATTTTAAGTGGGTGGGCCCATTCCCATGAGGCGTAGGCCTCACTAAGAATTGCGCAATTGCGCCTCTGAGGCGCGCCTCAGTCCATGTGAGGCGTACGCCTCTTCCAAGGGTGGAATTGCGTAAGCTTCGAGGCGGTTTTGGGACGGATTGCGCAGAGGTGCGCCTCTTATTGTGCAATTTTAAACAGAGATCTAAGGTGACTCTATCTAATCTTATCCGCCACTAGAGCTACTCCAACCTTTTCACATATATACTACTTTCTCTTTCTGTCTCTAAGAATGAAGCCACTCATCCACCTAAGCATCCTCATGTCAGCAACACATAACTTAATTTTATGCTTCTCTTTTAATGACTAACATTTTGTGCTATAAAACATTGTAGGTCTCACCACCATCTTATAGAATTTTTCCTTAAGTTTGAGGTGTACTTTTCTATCACACAACAAGCCTGATGCAATCCTCCACTTCTACCATCCAACTTGAATTATATTAATAGTATCCCCATCTATTTTACCATCTCTTTGAATAATAGACATGATATTTAAAATGTGCACTCTTATTAATGACTTATCACTCAAAGACACAATTCCCCTACTAGATCTATTAATATTAAAATTACATTTTATGCATTCAGGTTTAGACGGCCCTCTGGGTGCAGTAAAAAAAATCTACTCGGATGAAAACCTTTAGACTCTAAGGTTTACCCTCCATAATTCAAATTTTCCTTCAACTCCCTCTCTAGTCTTATCAACAAGAAGAATATCATCAGCAAAAAACATACACCATGCAAATGTCTAGTAAGAACTTCCATGGCCAAAGCATAAAGATATGAGCTTAAAGTTGATCCTTAATGTAATCCAATTGAAATAGGAAAATAGTTGATCAAACCACCTTGTGTTTGAACACAAGTAACAACTCCTATATACATATCCTTAATGACTTAAATATAAGCATTATTAACTCCTTTCTTTTCTAGAACTCTCCAAGCACTTGTTTGAAACTTTATTATATGCTTTCTCTAAATCAGTAAATATCATATGTAGATCCTCCTTATTCTCTCTGTACTTCTCCATCAAACCTCTCAATAAATGTATAGCTTCCAGAGTAGACCTACCAGGTATGAATCCAAATTGATTTTGAGAAACATTGGTATCATGTTGTAACCTATACTCAATAGCTCTCTCCCATAGTTTTAATGTATGACACATTAACTTAATTTCTGTATAATTCGTACACTCTTGTGCATCACTTTTATTCTTAAAAATAGGAACAACACACTCTCTCTACTCATCTGATTTCTTTTTAGTATTCAAAATAATTTTAAAATATTTCGTAAGTCAAGAAATTCTTTCGTCTTCTAAGCATTTCACACATCTATTGGAATATCATCAGGTTTGATAGCTTTTTCATATTGCATTTTCTTCAAAGTCTCTCTAACTTTGGTTTTATTAATATAACAATAAAAACAAAAATCTCTATTTTCATTTAGGGTGCTAAGGTTGCTAAAGTCATTCATAGTCAATGTTGGGTATACCTCATGAAATAAAAATCTAAAGCTTATGCCTTGTTCAAGCAGTTCCATAAACTTATAAAATTATATTTCAAACCTGTATCAAAATCATTCGCAATGACAATGAGAAAGAATATTTCTCGCATGAATTTACTCAATAAATTCACCATCAAAGCTTTTGTGTCTGTACCCCACAACAAATTGGGATGGATGAGAGAAAAAAAAAATCATTTATTGGAGAGAAAATAATCAACCATATTCACAAACTATGTTCCAGACTCCTACTGGGGGAGGCCATTTTCACATATTCCTACTTTATGAATCATCTACCCTCCAAGACACTTAATTTTAAACTTCTGCAAGTGTCATTCTTGATCAATATCCTTAAGGAATCTGGATTCCTTGTCTCTAAGAGTTTTTGGGTATGTTATTGTTGTGCACAACCTCCATCGAATCAGAAGAAGTTTCATCCAAAGGCCATAAAATGTATATTTTTTTGGACACCCCAATTCAAAAGGATTATAAATGTTACTCTCTAACCTTTAAGAACTTCTTAACTTCTGTTGATTTCATATTCCTAGAAGATAATCCTTTCTGACTCACAGTAAGGAAGCAATAGTAAGAATTTCCTTGAGACTTTACTATCTCCCTTATTATCTCTTTAATTGTCTCTAATATCTTCTATTCTACATCTGATTCCATATGATTATCAAATTCCATACCCTCAAAAATAACTAACCTAGGGGGAGAACTCATCACGGAAAAACCCATTATTGTGCATTTAAGGAAACCAAGAGTCAAGAAAGAAGACAAATCATCAGCCCTGGGAGGCGGCCTCAATGAGAGAGTTGTAAGCGATGATCTTGATTTACTCGTTATATTCAGAAATGCTTAAGAGTCTGACCCAATACTTCATTGCAAATTATTTGGTGCACTGTTCACTATCTTCATAGTTCAAGGCTTTAACCACCAAGATTGAAGACATTGCGATACATAGAAATGTGGATGAGAAACTTAAAAAACTGGAATGGTATAAGGCTGTTTTTGAATAAATGAGAGCTTTCAAGGAAATTGGCAACACACGTGATATTTTATCAATTATCCCAAAAATACTTATTGAAAGAAAGTGATTATTTGCTGTAAAATTTAATGCCAATGGTGAAATTGACAATTATAGAGTAAGGTTAATAGCTCAAGGCTTCACTCATACTCATGGAATAAACTAAGATGAGATATTTGCTCTAATTGCAAAATAAATTCTATTCGGGCTTTATTCTTCTTATCTGAGTCTGGATTGGGAGCTTCATCAACTTGACATAAAAAATGCCTTCTTAAATGAGGAAATTGAAGAAGTGTACATGAAAGTTTCTCCAAGTTTTTAATAAGAAGAAAGATAAGATTGTCAGTTAAAAAAATTCCTCTTTGCTCTAAAAAAATTACCATGTGCTTGGTTCATTAGATTCAATTCCACTCTAATTAAGTAGGGATAAACAAATGAACTAAAGGGGGAGTTGAAGAAAAAAAAAATTGCTTGGAATGGAAGTTGCAATAAATAAGATATTGTAAGAGTTGGATGAGATTTCCACTTGTAATGTCATCACCTTTTGTTTAAACCCAGAGGCAAGAAGCTGGGAGGGAGCTTATCGATAGAAGCTCCAAGCGACATCTAGGAAGAACCTTCATATATAGATCAATGAATAGCAACGACGATGCCAGGAAGCCCTAATAAGAGAACTTTATTCATATTCCCCCCCTTACTTTTTTGGGTTTAGTACTTATCATTTAGAAAATTGAGTATTGAAGTACAAATTTGATGTAGGTAATATTCGAAAGTATTTTGCCACCAATTTCAAATTCTTTACCAATCAAACCAATTGGCATCACTTGGGTTTAATACTTTTCTTTCACTAATGCAATGTTTTGCAACTTGTGGTTTGGCATGATTTGTCAGCTTTTCATTCTTAAATTGTTAATTTTGATGTTTATTATGCCTTACATGATTTTGTACCTTTTTTTTTTTTCAATGCAGAGCTACCTGGCGTTCTTAGTGTTATGCTGAGCAGGACCTTTTCACTTCATCATACTGGAATGCTCAATCTTCACGGAATGGGTGATTTTTGAACCTTTCCAAAGCTTTTACACATACAATTTGGCTCAGATGGCTGTTGAATGATGATCATGTAAGTTTTAATATCCTTTTCTGATATTGTGGCGAATACTGGATTGCTTTCAATTATGCTGCTGTTGTAAAAAAATAAAAGTTTTGTTTGAAGTACTATAAATATAATATTGTGTGATTACTGCCAAATGCTGAAACTACATAAGTGACAGATCTGTTTGTTCAGAATTGTTGTGAAATTACTGTTTATAGTTTTGAGATGACATTGATCTATTTGGTAAAAGTGTTTGCTATTGTTTTAATCCAAGTTTTGATTGAATGGATATTATATTGATTAGCGATGTTACAGAATTAATTTAAATAGATTTAGAAGTATCATGTAGAAGTATATGAAGTGCAAAAAAAAAAAACCTATTTATCTTTATATCAAGCGAGAATTATGAAATATTTATTGATTATTTCAACAAATTAGTTACCAGATATGTGGGCTTAGAAATGCTACCTAGTTTGATTAGGATCAGCAGTAATTTTGCTAGAGACAGATGAAGTAGACGACAAGCTTTACTTTGAGATTTCTTCTTTAGTAAGGATTTTTTTTTTTTTTTTTTTTTTTTCATTTTGTATTATGAACTTGATTTTTTTTTTAAGATTTTGTATTAATTTTCCATCTTCATTTCAGGAGTTCTTGATTGAGGATGTTGCAATGGTCCAAATTGTTGGAATAAATATTTTTGGGTTCTGTTCTGGGGGGCATTGTTAGTGTTTATGAATTTCATCATTTAGCGTTCATTTGAGATAGCTTTTTCGCTATTTTCTAAGGCTCTTTTTGTGGCAGCTTTTTTACTGCTTCTTAAAATAGCTTTCAAGTACAAATATTAAAATTTGTGTGCTCAAAAGCTGTTTTAAGAAGCAGTAATAAAGTAATCTCAAACAAAGCCTAAAACAACTTTTTAGTACACAAAATTTTTGAATTAATTTTTTTTTATTAAAAAGTCATTTTAGAAAATAGTGAGAAAGCTATCCAAACTAAACCTTAATATGTATATAAAGATCAAAAAAAGCCAATGAGGTCAATTATATGGCATACCTTTACGAAGGAGCCTTATTAGCATCAAATGACTCAAGGACTTGTAGAGATAGTAATTGGGGAACATATGGGTCTTTGGATATAGATAATATGATTAGATGTTTATGGGCATAAGCAATCTCTTTGATCAAAGGTTTATACTTAAATTTATTGGGTTTATGAGATTAATGATATTATTATGTTGGTAAGATACAAGGTGATGATATGCAAATAACTTCTCATAAATCATGGCATGGGCAAATGAATTGAAAAACAGGGATAACATGCAACAAATCTACAAAATGCATAGTTTATTAAACATATCATGATAAAAAATAAATAAAAATCATTCACACACTACATTACCTTTTACATGTCAAAATATCTTCATATGCATGATATCAAGTGAATCATCATATCATGAAGTAAACCATATCAATATCATACATTTACCTTCTTAGCATTATCAACTATTATAAAATAATGAAATATGCTTATCAAAGTGTTATGATAGAATAAATATTGAAATAAACAAATTGCATATTGCAGACATACATTGTATTTAGGTATACTCCCAATGCATGCGATGAGATTACAACTAATAATTTAAACTACACCAATCATTTAATGCATAATTAGAAGGTTCTCTTAGTCTTCGTTTGGGATAACTTTCCTACTACTTTTTAAAATAATTTTTTAGTTAATTTTTTTTTTTGAACTTTGAAATTTTTTTACTAAAAAGTTATTTTAAGAAGCAGTAAGAAAGTTGTCCCAAACGAAGTCTTAGTCATTGATAATTGGTGGTGTTTGGGGAAAATCAAGAGGATCCTAATAGCCTTCTATTTGAGTAAACTTGTTCAACATTTAATCTGATTTGGATTGGAGATGTTCTAACATCTAATGTTGTTGGGCCAAAGTGTATCCTGTTGATTAATTTAAGCTTTGTTTGGGATAGCTTTTGACAGTTTTTTTTTATTGCTTTAAAAAAAAAAGCTAAAAAATTATTTTAGAAAGCAATAAAAAAGTTGTCTCAAATAAAATCTTAGTCTTTTAATTGATTCATCCATGAAGTAAACTCTTCTTAACCATAAAAGTAATATTCCGATTAAAATTTTGTATCCGTTAGCAAAAAATGGGGATAACTTTGCACCGGTAAAACTTTCACTGTAACTTTTTATATGTCAAAGAGATTATGATTATGCACATTCTGAATATTTTCTGGAAAATTTTCATCGGATATTCTGAATCTGATGGGTTTTTAATGAATATAAAATTTTCAGAATTTTAAAAAATAGTGCAATAGTACAATAAAAGTTTTAAAACTTTGTTTTATACAATCTCTGGTAATCTGGAAATTTTCTGAAACTGTGCATTTTTGTCTCGTTGAATTTTCTGCTGTCTATCGTTATACAATATGATGATATTTTGCTACATGCTCAATTACTCTATATTTGTTATAATGTGTTGATATATGTGCCCATGTGATTAAATGATATATGTTGGGAGATATAAGGGGTTAGAATCCTTTGAGTTTATATCTGTGTTAGGGAATTTCTGGGAGGCATAAGGGGCCAGAATCTTTTGAGATTCTGTCTGGGTCCGGGAAATGTGATCTGATCTGAATAACTTTGTATATCTGATATGTTCTAGTGCTGTAAGCACAAAGAGAGTCATAAGGGGCCAGAATCTTTTGAGATTCTATCTGGATCTGGGAAATGTGATCTGAACAATTCTGTGATATGAATTTTTATTCAATTATTCTGTACTGTTATTTAATTCATCTATTATGTACGATTATCTGTTATTTAATTCATCTGAATTCTGTACGGTTATCTGAATTCTATACGATTATCTGAATTCTGAACAGTTATTTGAATTTTGTACGGTTATCTGAATCATATAATGCTTGCTATGTATTTATGTTTTGTGATTCTCAGTTCAGCGAATTATTTTTAAACTGCAATTAATTGCTTTTAAATCTTTAGTAAAATATTTGAAATAAAAGAGTATTTGGAAATTTAGATCGGCTAGTGTGACTTGCTGAGCTGTTAGCTCACTGTGGTTTTACTCATGATTTTTAGGATATGGTAAAGGAAAAGAGGTTGTGGACTACCTGTTCAGGATCTGATATGAAGTTATAGGTATTTTGTAATTTTGATTTTTGTACAGTCATGACTAGTTTACTTTCAGTTATGTAATTCTGTCTATAGCCATGCATTATAGTATATATAATGGTTTTGATGAATGAAAGAAACTTTATAGATGAGTTATTCAATATTTGGATATTTTAGTAGCTCTGTGGTTTAACATTATGTTAATAAATATCGACAGAAAAATCTGGAAAGAATTCCAAAACTAGATCTTGGGGTTCGCCTGTTACGGCTCAATACGATAGGATCTGTCCTGATCAGGTTGGGTTGTGACAAATGTGATAACCATGTATATACCCATCTCATCAAATGGACTGCTCTCACTTCTAAATGCATATCATATCATAATGGAGGGAATTAGACTTCTAGGCCTATACTTCTTTGTCCAAAAGATACTTAAAGATAGGACATTGGATAAGAAACATTTATATTTAGAGTCCTACTTTAGGTGTGATTATAAAATCATATAAATTTTATTCTTTATAATTATCATAATAATAAAATTGTGCCAAAGAATATCTTAAAGCATTTGGGATATTATTTTCTCTTAAGTTCATTGAAAAAAGTTTTTAACGTTGGAATGAAACACATTTTTTTAGATAAGTGTAAATGGCATTTTTGTTAAGCGTAGTTGTCAATCGTTTTGGAGGTCTTAGCTCTCTATAAAGATTAGTCTTATGAATTTTAAACTTAAAAAAAAAAAAGGGTTAGCCGAGCAAGTCAATCCTATATCTTCCATAAATTATGTCGGATATATGTCTTGATAACCATACAACATCCATTAAATAAAAGATGTGTGTGGCATACATAGCCAACCAACCCTTTTATGAATTTTAAACTTGATTTTAAAACTAAGATCATTAGGTCAGAAGTTTGAATTAATCTACCATTTGTTTAACTAGTTGAGTATGCATTTAAGAAATAAGTTTTTCAACTTTGATCTAGGTCGCAATGGTGTCAGCTTTCTTGCATAAAATTGGCTTACTTCAAATTTTAATTGTAAGATTTGGTTACTTGTTAGGCTCTTAAGCTCATTATATGCGGTTAAATGATTTTAGGTCAGGGCAAGAGATCATGAGTGTGAGACTGATTATGATTCCTTATGTTTTATTTCTTTTTATTTTAGTTATTCTTTTATACACATGATAGAATAGTGATAGTATGATTGTATAGATCTTGGTAGTGTATATGAATTTTTGAGAAATGAATACTAATGTATATAAAGATGTTTTGAATTCTAGAATTATTTTGGTTATTTATTTTTTATAAATGAAGTTAGATAGCTTTGGTGCTCTTTATAAAAAGATAATAATAATTATTTCAAATTAAATTCCGAGGCATCACAATTAAGATAAGAGAATAGTTATTGTAAGAATTAAATTCCTGCATGAGTTGTAAGAATTGATAGTGAGTCGAGTAAATTGGGTAGATTAAGGTGCATTCTTTTGCATATAGTTGATTGCATGTGCATATTATTCAGATCATACTAAATCGTACATGTGACCAGTTGGATGGATCTGGTATAGTCAAATATACAATATAAGCAACACAGTGCAGATCCAGTGCCATTAGATAGTGTGATGCAATTAACTACTATTATAGCACATGTAATTGGGGATACGTAGAGTAAGTCAGTTGAAAATAAAGAAGAGGAGGGAGACAAACACTTACAGACATTTCATAAGTTGAAGCCTCCGTTATTCAAATGAGTTGTAGGACCTCGGACTACAGAAAATTAGTTATTGAGGATAAAAAAGATCTTTGACAACATGTAATATTCGGAGAGCTGGAAGGTACTGTTGGCTTTGTTCTTATTTGAAGGAAAGGTTGAGAGATAGTGGGTTGGGCAATAGAGAGAGAAATTTCAAGGGAAGATAAATACTAAGATCATTTGGGACGAGTTTACTATAGTATTCAGGATGTGATTTGTATCTCCGTCAGCCTGACGACATATACAGAAATCTTTCATTAAGTTGGAGCAAGGATGCGAGTTAGTGATGCAGTATGCGGCCGAGTTTACTACTCTTGCTATGTATGTTTCTTATTTCATCCCTACTGCTGAAGAAAAGTACTATAGGTTTTTGCACGGGTTAGACAGGGAGCTTATGCATCCATTTGTACCTTTACGGATCTAGGAGAGTTTGGAGTTAGCAAAGCAGGCTAGACTAAAAGAAATTGATTTGGCAGCACAAGCATCCAAGTATGAGGTAAGCTCTAATTATGATGTTAGCAGGAGGAGGGGCAAAGATGAAGTAAGCAGGGATATAGACAGAGATAGTATGAGTTAGAAGAAAAGTAGATATAGTGATTCGAGGGGATCTATATAGATATTATATACTGAAAGTTACGACGAGTGCATTCATTGTGATGGCAATATTTGGGCTAGTGCTACCTGTTGACTAGATAATGTTTTTGATATGGAAAGTAGGGGCATAAGGTAACAGACTGTCCTCATAGAGAATTTGGAGGAAGAATTTATTCTAGTAGTTAGAGGGAGATTGTTGCACCATAATCGATTGCACCTACTTCGGTGATGCAACATGTGCACAACTTATAATATCTAGAAGATCGACAATAACCTGAGAGTTCTGCTGGTTAGAAGTTTATTTTTAATTATTGTATGACATAATATATCATAAATAATTGAATGACATATGATAGAATGAACTACTTGATTGTATGATTTCTTACAACTTTTAATTGGAGTTTGATTTGATTTGAGTTTTGATCATACGAATTTGGTTTAAATCATTTTGTGCATGAATCCTTAAGAGAAATATTGAGAATGACATTTTTTAGGTGGGTAGATTGTAATAGTATGTATTTTAATCCAATAAAATAATTTTTTTTAGTGTCAATATAAATCCAAATCATAAATCGTCATTGTCATACCATTAATTTAATAATATTTTAATTACATGATTTTTTTCAAGAGAGAGAGAGAGAGAGAGAGAGAGAGAGAGAGAGAGAATGGAACTTCATATTTAGAGGCCATATAGCAATTTTGGTTTGCCGATCTATTTGAAAAATTTGCCTGCCTCATTATAAGAAACCATCACCTTTTTTCTGATTTCAATTATTTCATATTTTTGATATTTTTGTGATAAAATTTATATTTTCAACATCAAGAAACGAGCATAATTTTATATTGGTAAAAATTTTATGGCATAATTTTTTATAGTTATAAAGATTAAGATTTTTCGACTAGTGATTTTTGTCAATTTAGAAATTTATTTTAACATATAAAAATAGTATTTTAGTTCAATTAAAGCTTCATGATATTGTTATATATAATCCCTAATAATTTGTTTAATTTTTAAAAATATTTATTTTTACTTAGTAGGATTTTATGTTGCCTGCCTTTATGATATTTTGACACTTTTTGAATTAAACTTAATTATATTTTATTTGGTGCAAAACATTAAAAATAAATGTGGTTATACGATTGAGATTACCATTATAGTACTATGATAATAGTGTGTGTGTAAAAGATAAGTAAAGACTGGTTAACCTGTATAGGATGGTGGGCTGATGGGCTTTCCTTTAAATATTGTGATTGGATGTTATCCTTTACTGATTCACATGATACTAATTGAGAGTTATAAAGAGATAATTATCATGCCAACAGGCAATGAAAGAGTGGCATCTTTGTTTATTAAGCCAATGATTTACTAACACTGATATGATACTGAAAAAATACTGCTATAACCAGAACTTTTACTTATTTAATATGTCAATTATAATGCATTCTACTAAATCACTGCCACTGTATGGCTTTACTATTATTTTCACCCATGATAGTGATGTTATTATTATTCTATTGTTATTAATATGATGATCACGTGATGTATATTGAGTATGTGCATTGGACACTAACTTTGTGCTGACATTGACATAATATTTTTGAGTATGTGATACATGAATACAATTATATTTATATAATTTTACTGTATTGACATGATGTCGACAATCTTTATTGATGTTTTGATTTGATGTTTTATATGTTTTCTATTTTGATTGTGGTATTTGATATGATAATTATTTTAGTAATTTTACACATATATTGATTTACTAATTTCTCTATTATATTACTCTGTGATCATGTGAATGATACTTTTATGATTTGACTGCTAAAATGCATATTGCTCATTTACCTTATGTTCAGTTCAGTTGTAGAATTTGGTTGCATACTGAGCTCCTAAGCATATTATATGTGATTAAATGATTTCAGGTCAAAACAATAGAGCAAAAGTGTGAGACTGATCAGGATTCCTCAGGATATGTTTTTTTTTTTAGTAAATTTTTTGTACTCAGGATAGAGTAGCAGTAGTATGATTGTATAGATATTGAGTAGTGTATATATTTTTTTGAGAAATGAATACAAATGTAAATATAGATATTTAGAATTCTAGTGCTGTTTATTTCTAATAAATGAAGTTAGATAACTTTGATGTTATTTATTAAAAAATAAAATAATAATTCTTTCAAATTAGATTATGTGACATCATAACATTGACCAATATTCTTATGTAATAACAATATTCTCTCTATTATTGTGACAAAATTAGATATTTTTATTTATTTTTTGAGAAAAAAAAAGCAAGTTCCTTAAATTCAATTTTGATGAATTTTTACAAAATGCATAAGTTCAGTTTCTAACATAAGTGTTTTAGGAGGGTCAAGCTTAAGATGTGTTTGAGTTCAATAGATCAACTGAGTTCACTATGAGAGTAGTGTATCATAAGGATTGAGTTTATCGTGTGGGTTGAGTTCTTCATTAGGGTCAAGTTTCCTAAATTTGTTTTCTTTGAAGATAACTTTGACTAATTTATAATTTTGAAAATTTTGAAAATTTTTGACAAAGAATTGCACAAAATATAAATAAACAGTGTTTATAGAGTTAATAAAAAAAATGTTATTAAAGGATTACCCCCCTATTTTGTTCTTTATGGCTCAAGTTATCTCAACTCCAAGTTTTAGGCACTTCCTTTCCATTATAGTTTTAAAGTCAATAGGCCCCAAGGCTAACTTGTTCTTTGATGATGCATGATCCTTTTCAAGTCAACTCGAGTTTCAAGTACTATTTTCCTAGTGGTTGCATTCAACGTATGGAAAAGTGGTTTTTTGTTTTATAACCCTTCTTAACTTCCTCGTATCATCTTGAGGTTTATATTTTGAGCTTGGCAAATAAACCCATGCAAATTTGCAATCCTTCCTCATTTTGTCTCCATTAGCTTAATTGTGCATCAAAACATGTAACAAATCTTCTACATGAAAAATCTTGGAGGTATTTCACTTCTCCTTGATATTCAAACAATCGACATATTATATAGTTTTCATTTAAGCTAAGAAAAGTATGCCATGGACCTTCTAAGGTTGGCATGTTCGAATATAAAACCATTCTCAATCCCCACCTTCGAAATAGCTGATGTCATTCTCCTCAACCACTAACTTCTCCAACTTTGATTTATATTGCCTACTAATGACTCAAATATCTTACCATAATCATGTTGGAAATTTCTTTACCAGTGAATTTGCTATATGATCACATGCATCATCCCCTCGTAGGCTAACTTCTCAAATGCCTATTTCGCTACATCAAAGTTACCTCCAACTTCAGCCTTCCCATGTAATGTGAAAATTTGACTCTCCACTCTTACTCAAATCTCGATTAGGCCAGTGATCCCTATTACCATCTTTCTTACTGCAAGTTATTGCTCATATTTGGGTTGCACACTTGTATCGTGGAATGTAAAAAAGCTGTCAATTGTATCACGCTTGCTGACTAAAGCATAGTACCAATCCTTGGTTTTCGTAGAAACAAATATCATCTAGTCACACAAACTTCAAGGAATTTCGCACATCGATTACTCTACTCCATCACACCTTAATAACATTTCTACACATGCTTTAGGCAAACAACCTATTACTTTATAGCCACGTGAAACACATTGAAATCACACCCACAAATTGCCACCCGGACTGCTTTTGACACTACAATCGACACCCCCCCAATTTATATTACCCACTAATGACTTAAATATCTTAACATTACCATGTTGGAATTTTTGTAGTTGTGAATTTGTTATATGATCACACACATCATCCCCTCGTAGGCTATATTCAACTTCTCGAATGCCTATTTTGCTACATCAAAGTTACCTCAAAAAAACTGACTCTCCACTTTTACTCAAACCTCGATTGGGCCAATGATACATTATTATCATTCTACTACAAGTTATTGCTCATACCTAGGTTGCACACTTGTGTCGTGGAATGTCAAAAAGCTGTCAATTATATCACGCTGGTCAACTAAAGTATAGTACCAATCCTTGGTTTATGTAGCAATGAATATCATCTAGTAGCACAACTTCAAGATATTTCACATATCAATTACTCTACTCCATCACACCTTGGCAATAAGTAGGATTTAGTAAATCTTGTAAATTCTGAATTTAATAAATCTTGAAAATTGTTTAGCAAGATATCTATTAAATCTTGTGAAATCGTTTGACAATGCAATCTAAGTTTTTAGGTAGTTAGTTCATTAAAAATTTAAATTTAATTAACATTTAAATATGAATTGCTTATTAGTTTTAATTTTAATTTTAATTATCATCAATAAATTATAATTGGAAGCTTTCTCAATTATAAAAAAATAAAATTAATGATTTAATTACTAAGGATAATACTAATTATCAAATTTATTTAGTTGCATTCTAAATAATATTTGATTACTAACTATACTAATAATTATATAATTAATTATTTAATTATTGTTTGAAATAACAAATTATTTAATTATATGTTTAAGCATTATTTCGTCTAGGGTTTGCTTTTTATCTTCTCTATTCGTCGTTGCTGTTCGACATCGTTGCTTCGCATGAGAGATTTGCACAAGTCGCTTCTTCAGCTCCTTCTTTCGTTTTTGTTCTTACTTCGCTGCAACGATTCGCTTATTCCTCTTCTTCGACGACGTTCCGTTCCTATCGGATCGGAAATCACCACATTTCGCCGACGGGAGCTCGCTCTCTGTGAAGGTAATTATCTTTCTCCCTTTCCGCCTCGGTTCTTTGGCCAAATCCTGTAAATCCGCTGAATTCCTGGATTTAATAAATCCGGGATTTAGGTCGAAAAGAGGGAAACGGAGGTTTTATTCCGCCGTGAGTTTTGTCGGGTGCTCAAATTACATTTGACAGGATTTAGCATAAATCATGCTCAAATCCTGCATAAATGCTGTTGCCTAACAGCCCTTGAAAGTCAAATCTTGGTTCGCCAATTTGAGGGGAGGTAAGAACAGTTAAATTAGCTCCCCGCTAACGGAGCTCCAAGTTCTCCAATGAATTCTAATGGAGCTGTCATTAAAGAATTCCCAACACTTTTTCTTCTTCTTTGCTCGTTTAAGGATTTTATGAGCTGTGATGGCTGAAGGATAGCAAGAACGATACGGCAAAATTCACGATGTGCACATCTAAGCTTCTCCGTATATGCTCGCTTGATGCCGAGAACCCTATAGATTCCTCGCTCAGAGAAGCCTTCTCATCTCTCCACGACCGCCTCAAACCCCCATTCCCACTAACAATCCCTTCGCCATCCGAATACTCGCAGCTCAACCTCGCTCTCGCCTATGGCATCCTCACCGAGCCCCACCTAGCCAAGACCCACCTCACCCATCTCCACGCAATCGTCATTGATGGCTACAATCACTTCACCACAATCCTAATCAATCTCTCCAATGAATTCTATCCCAAGCTCCTCCAAATCCCAAAATCGCAACTTCTCTGGATGTCTTCTAAGCTCGTCCAAGTCGCCGCCGTCAAAGTCGAAACCCTAATCATCTCTCTTCTTCGGCAGATCAAAGGCGGCGACTTTTCCGAGCCCAACCTCTGGCTTTGTTCCGAACTAATAACCATTTTAGCCAATAACTGGGATTGGTTATTGGAGGAGCCCTTGATTATGAAAAGTTCATTGTTTGTGTTCCTTCGCTTGCTGGCCGACCACTACAGATTGGTTGGTAGACCAGAGTTAGATAAGTTGAAAAGGATGGAGATTGAATTCTGCATTCGGGTTTTAAGAGAGCATTTTGATATATGTCTACATATTGGTCGAGATTTAATTCGGCTTCTTCAAGATTTAGTTTTTGTTCCAGAGTTCAAAGATGTATGGATGGATTTTTTATCTGATCCAGGAAAGTTTGGAGTGCCAGTTTTCATGGATATCTCGCAACTTTATCGAACTAGAACGCCTTCACACTACTTTTCACTCACGATTACCCCTGAGATGGAGACTCAATTGAGATTTCTGCTTAATCATGTAAAATGGGGGAGCCAGAAGAGATACCAGGCTTGGTTTGCAAAGAAGCATTTTTGCACACCTGGAAGTGAGACTGTAATTGTTGATATTGTCAGGTTCATTTGCTGTGCGCATCATCCATCAAATGAAATCATTCAATCAAATGTTATTTCTCGATGGGCGATCATTGGTTGGCTATTGAAGTGCTGCAAGAAGAACTACTTCTTGGCTAATGTGAAGCTTGCTTTGCTCTATGATTGGATGTTCTTTGATGAGAAGGTTGATAATATAATGAACATAGAGCCTGCAATGCTTCTGATGGTGAATTCCGTAAACCAATATATCGATATTACTCACACCTTGCTGGAGTTTTTGTTTCTGCTGGTTGATAATTATGATGTACAAAGGAGAGAACTGGTTTTTAAGGGAGTTTCAAATTCGTTCAGTTTATTGGTTAGGAAAGGAGTTGTTCATTCTTTGGAATCCTTAACTTCTTGCAACCAACTTTCATCTGTATTTAGAGAGAAGCTTGCTTCAATGATATCAAGTTCAGACCTTACAACTGTGAAAGGATCATCTGAAATGTGTGAAAGACAGGTAAAGATGGCCTCCACCACAAAATGTAATGTAGATTCTGGCAAGGTATCTGTTGCCAATTTTGAGCTACAATGATGCTGGTTTACAGTGAGATCTGACTGAAGACATATGGATGAGACAATTTGATGTTGATATTTTAAAACTGATTCACAGAGGATTAACCAGAGATACTTAGGGCATTTCCAAGCGAAAATCCCATTTTTTACTCCAAAATGCAGTGAAATTCATAAATGATGTGATTCATCTTCAATCGAACCCCATTTTACACGCTTCTGTAACCATCTTTCTCCTCTTTCGTGCGTTTCTTTAGCAAATCGGGTTGAGAATGAAAAATCGCGTAGGTGAACAATATAACGTCTCAAGGCAACTCATCTTCCTCTAAGTGAAACCCACCCAAACTCTATAATATAGCAGCCAGCCCCAAGTTCTCTACACAATTGACTTCAAGGATGATGCTCATTTTCATTATTATTAGTATGAAAGATGGTCATGAGTCACATTTAATGAAAAATATTTTTTTTTATGATTTTATCTTTTCTTTTAAAATTCTCCTAGATAGTCTAAGTGTGTCCAGAAAGAACCAGAAGTGTCATAGAAATATATCAAGAAATGTGGTATATCTTGAAGTATACTAGGAAAGCAGTAAATGGAAGACATACAAGTTGAGAAAGAATTGGAAGTAATAGTATGCACATACAAATCCTCATCCACTCACTCACCTAATATATTAACTTAAATCATCATAGTATATATAGTGAGCTAGAACCTATATTATTTATGTTTTAAATATGGCTACTATACTGGCCTTTAAAGTTTGCAAATAATTATATTAATACATGAATAAAACCCTACTACATAAAAGATAGCAAGTAAGATGTGAATCCAAGGGGAATAGATTAACAAATAGGGGTGACATGTAAAAAGAGTATGGGGTGGCTAACCTTGCTTAAAGCATATGTGTTTTGATGACTTGGATTGATGAACTTATTGGGTTAAATGATCTAAGGGTCCATATCATGTTATCAAGGAAGATTGACACATAAGCGTGCCGAGATTATGGCTCCTTGAAAAAAAACATACAAGTGGTTTTGCCTTGGGGGAGTTGATGGTTTGGTGACATTGGGTTGGTGGGTTGATGAAGATGATGGAATTGGACAAAGAGGTCACTCGGTGTCTTTGGAGTCAACGGGATTCAGAGCCAGTGAGTTGGATGGATGTTAGGTCTACAATTTTGGGTAGCAATAACATGATGGCATTGAAATCAATTTGTGCATGCATTTTGAAGGATTTTGTGCACTTACATATGTGCCTGGTTTTACATATGTGCCTGGTTGATGACTAAAGAATAACTCATGGGATACCAATCATTTAGGCCTTTCTGACATCTAAAGTTGATTGGGCACATAGGTTCACCTTTGCCTTTCTAACAACTAAAGTTGGTTGGGTACATGGGCTCACCTTCGAGAGTTTCTGAGGACGCATGTAAGGAATCTTAGGGTGTATCTAAATGGATGCCAACACTCCCCCATTATTTTGATTGACGGTGGCCAAAGAAAGATAGAGGACTTTGATAAAAATAATATATCAACAAGACAACATAAAAGGGGAAGTGGGAAGGTGTTAGAGAAAGATACATTCTAAAGAGATGTGACTATGAGGTTGAACTACTCTAAATGAGTTATACAATGAGTGAAGATAAGGCATGAGGGACAAAGTAAGCTAGCAGCTGTTATAAGGAAATGACATACTTGGATGGGGAGTCACCAAACATCAAAGAAGAAGACGATGATGTGAACTTGTTAGCAACGAGATTCATTAATAGAGAAGGGACATCTATTGAGCGAATGGAACTTAGGTAGATATTGAGCATGCTGCAAGGTTTGTAGAGCTGATGATAAGAGTGGGTGGAAACTCAAGAATAATGGAGCTAGGAGACTATGAATAGTAAGTACACATCCAAAATTTCTACCATTTGAAATGGGGCATATTTATAGGGAAAAAAGCAAGACCAATTTCTTGGTGAAATGACTAAGAGTATAGATTATTAAAAAAAATATAGCGACGTGAACCCTATTGCAAATAAGGCAATGCCCTATTGCCTAGAGAAGACTAATAAAAAAGATGGATTTTGGCATATTCCACATGCCTCATTCATTGAGAAGTCACTGAATTTAAAAGGACATTATCCAAGGAGATGTTGGCGCAGATCAATGATAAAAAATTGATGGCTCTAAATCCATCCTTTAGATGGTGGTGTTATGGAGTAGACTCCTCGAGATAACTTATTGATATGGTTAGTGAAGTCATGATTACTAATAAGGCTTAATAACATTAATAATATATGTTAGGGTGTCTGGATGATTGGTGATTTGAAATTAACCTTGAGTGAGGTGGAAACTAAAAATTGGCTCAAGATAATATCTGAGATGTATGCGACTCCTAATTAAGAAAACTTATCTATAGTTGATAAGGGATTCCATTAAAGGCAATGAAAGGAATTTTGATTATAACATCATAGATGTTGATCACAATACCATGAAAAGACAAACAACTAGATAAGGGAGGCATCCATGAGTGATGAGAAAGGACTTTTGTGAATTGTTGGAAGCAATGATATCCATGATGTTGAAGAGTCATCAAGCATATCATTGAGACTACAAACATGTGATATGGGGCACATAAGTGAGTATTTTAGGTATTGAAAAGCAAATTGATCATGACGGCCAATGACATATGATAGTGCCGTTGATTAAGAGTTAGCCAAGGGTGATCAAACCAAATCTTGAAGCATATATTCCAAAATGTTAGAATCATCTTATCATATCCATACTTTAAATAACTATTAAAGTTTCTAATTAACCTAGGGGATGCCTCATTTTATTGATTTTTTAAATTGAATATACTATTTAGGTCATGTCTAAGGCCAATATTTTTAAATTAATACTTATCTTTGAAATTTATGAATAGATATTTATTTATTTTTAAACATAATTCAACTTTATAAAAACTTTCTTTTTAATTATAATAAGATTAAAGTGACATATCTTAGTTTAAATAGATCATTGACACTAGCGAGCTTGGTAGCTTCATCAAAATCATATGAATTGATCCAACCGCACATTCGCTTTAATGCATGCTAGATGCTATGATAGGACACACCCTTAATCAAGTAGTTTAGGGCTATGATATAGTTAGGCCATTTTCCTACAAACTCCCTTTGGTGCATGGCATTTTGTGTGTTAGATAAGTTTGCTTAGTGTGCATTGGTGTGGTTGCTTAATTCCACTAGAATAAATATAATTTTCTCAATAGTTGTTCAACATATGAACATATGCTATTTTACTTGGCATGTGTCATGTGTTAATATTTAAAATGTCAAATAAATGTTTTATCTGGTACTTGACACTATAATTTTCTAACCTTGTTTTATTTTATGTACATTATAAACTACTTGATTTGATATATATATATAATGAAACTTCATGTCCATAGGTACATTCCAATTTTGACCCAATAGTAAATATCATTTTATGAGAGGTAAGGATCAAGAGAAAAAAAATCTTGATATCTATACCTTATTCCACATGCTAACTTTTTGCACATTTGTAATTATGTATAAAACTAGAATTAGGTTCTACTTATAGAAAGCCCAATTGCCATTTGTTTTTTTCAAGGGGATTGTATTTGTTGGCCCAATTGCACTAGGCTTTTTTATTATGTTTTATTAACTCCCTATACTTCTTTTTAGTATGTTTGTAGGTTGTTTACTTTTAATTTTTTTAAAATATTATGATTTTTTTCAAGATATCCTATGCATTGATAGGCTTTTAGTGAAATTTTTTGCTATCAACTATAATTAAGTTGATAATCAACTTAAAATTAATTTAGAAAAGTTTTCTTAAAAAATCAAAATTGCAGGGAATTAAGGGACAATCTTTAATTTTAATTTTTCTATCTAAATCTCCTAAAGAAGGTGCAAAGCATAGCATTCATCAATTGACCCTAGTTAATGCATATGCATATCATGACATGAACTAATGCATATAATTAGAAGATTTTAATTAAGAATAGACAACTTTGCATTTATTCATGTCCTTAGGATAGATAGTGTAATAGCCCATATTTTGATCCAAGCAAATAATTTTTTTTAAGGAGTAATTATAAGTCAAATTTGAAAAACTTTTTCGTCATAAGATATATATTAGTGTTTTAATTTCATAATTTTTTTTTCATAATTTTTTGGCACGGATAAAAATCCTTAAGAAATATACATGTGTCGATACAAGTGGATATTTTGGAAGCGTTAGGTGTTCATTTTGCAAATCAATTTCACAAATATTTTCTAAATAAAATGATTTATTTTATTGATATTTTTTTATAATTTTTGAATCCACAAAAGAATTTATAAAAAAATTATAACAAAAATTGATTAAATTTTATAATTATATATTATTATTGATACATCACGCAAAAACTATCTTGATCGGGCACGAATCTAGAGGCAAAAGCTAGTTGGAAACTTCAAAAATTAATTTCGGGAGCATATGAACTCCGATTTCAGCAAGCTGTGTGCGAAATACTCGTGCAACGCTAGGACGCGAATTTACAAACTCTACCGCCGCATATATTCTCACACGCAACAATTATATTATTATTTTAACACAAATATCTTATTCCATTATTTAAAATATCTTATAACCCATTGAATTTTCTCAAAATCGGTCAACAAAGAGCAACTTAAGTAATTTGAGAGAAAATTTAAGAAGAGAGAAAGGAAATATATGATTTGGATATTGCGAAACGATTTTTGTTAGTCAGACTTGTAGGAAGATTTACTCGTCTCGCTGTAAGGAATCATTATCTTATTTCTGATTTAAAAATTTTATATTTTTGATATTTTTCTCATCAAATCTGAATTTTCATTACAAAAAATAATGATAATTTTATATTGGTAAAATTTTCACTGTAAATTTTTATGTGTTATAGAGATTGAGATTATGAACATTTTGAGTAATTTGAGATTTTTCACAAAGTAATTTTAAAAATAAAGCTTTTTTTTAGCATATAAAAATAGTGATTTATTTCAACTAAAGCTTCAAAATATTATTTTATGCAATATTTGGTAATTTGGTCAAATTATGAAAATATGAATTTTTTCTCATTATGATTTTTATTGTTTACTCTTAGAACATTTTGACACTTTCTGAATTAAGCTCAATTATACTTTATTTATTACAATATATTGAAAATGAATTGGATATGTGATTGAGTAATAGTTGGTTGATATTACTGTTATAATACTGTATTAATAATATATGTGTAAAAGACAAGTAAAAATTGGTTGACCTGTTGGTTGGAAATTGATTAACCTTTAAAAGATGATAGGCCGACGGACTTTTCTTTAAACACTATGATTTGGTGTTATTCTCTACTAAATTACGTGATACATTGATTGAGATTTATAAGGAGATGATTACTATGCTAATGGATAAAGAGTAACAACTTTGTTTACTAAGTCAACAGTTTACTAACACTAATACAATAGTGAAAAATATAGTGATAGCCAAAATTCCTATTTTTTTGTATGACTACTAAAATGAATGTTATTGAGGCATAGTTCATATTAATGTATGAATTTATTATTAACTCTGTCACTGATTTATTGATAAAAAGAAGCATGTTATATTTATTGAGCACACAATATACAAGATATATTATGCATGTGATTAAGATATTGATAAAAAGTAATACTATATTGATTTGATTTCAATAGTCTTTACTAATGCTTTGATTCTATACTTTATCCAATTTTTATACTGATTGGTATTACGCACATGACAATTATTTTATAGATTTGATACTAGTACTGATTACTTGATTTACTGGCTTATATACTATAATATCTTACTATTTATAGATTATACTACTACTATTACATTTGAATTTTACTATTTTTGTACTGTTTCAATTATCATATGAATGCCACTGCTATAATTTGATCCCTAACATGCATATTGCTCCTTTATCGTATTTTGAATTTAATCGTAAGTTTTAGTGACATGGTGTGCTCTTTAGCTCATTATATGCGGTTAAATAATTTTAAGTCAGAGAAAAGGATCAAAAGTATGTGGCTGGACAAGATTATTCAGGTTCTATTTCTTTTTATTTTAGTTATTATTTTGTACTCATAATAAAGTATTTATGATATGATTGTATAAATCTAGAGTGGTGTAAATGATTTTTCAAAATGAATACAAATGCATACATTGATGTTTTGAATTATAGAATATATTTTTGCTATATATTATGGAATATTATTAGATGAATTTGATTATTATTAATTAAAAAATTAAAATTTCCAATATAGATTGAGGGCATTACAATTGATATCATAATATAGTTGTTGGAAGAATTGATTGTTATCAGAGTTGAAGGAATTGATTGAGTTTGATAGAATGGGTAGAATGTGTAGTTTAGGGTACATTATTTTACATACATAATTAATTGCATCTATATATTATTCAGTTCATATCAAACCGTGCAGATAAACAATCAAATTGGATCCGCTAGAGTCAAATATACCCGTTGGCAATAAATTGTAACTCTAATAGCATCAGATAGTGTGATGCAGTTCACTAATATTATAACACAAGTAATGGGGGATGCATAGAGTAAGTTAGCTGGAAGCAAAGAAGAAGAGGGAGATAAACATTTATAGATATTTTATAAGCTGAAGCCTTTGGTGTTCAAAGGAATTGTAGGATCTTAGGTTGTAAAAAACTGGCTATTAAGGATAGAAAAAATTATTGACAACATGTAATGTCTGGAGGGCTGGAAGATGCCATTAACTATATTCATATTTAAAGGAGAGGTAGAGAGATAGTGGATTGGAAAACAGAGAGAAGTTTACGGGAGGAATAATACTGAGATCACTTGGCACAAGTTTACTAAGGTATTCAGGATGTGGTTTGTACCTTCTGCGGCTCGACGACAAATGTTGGAAGCTTTTATCAAGTTGGAGCATGGATGCAAGATAGTGATGCAGTATGAGACAAAGTTTACTATCCTTGCTAGATGTGCTCTTCACTTGATCTCTACTAATGACGAAAAGTTTTATAGGTTTCTGCAAGGGTTGAATAGGGGCTTAGATATCCGCTAGTACCTCTATGAATTCAGGAGTTTTCTAATTTGGTGAGGAGGGCTAGATTGAAATATATTGATTTGGCGGCACCATATCTAGATATGAAATGGGCTCCAAATATGATGCTAGCAGAAAGAGGAGCAGAGATGAACCAAATAGAGAGAGAGAGAGAGAGAGAGAGAGAGAGAGAGAGAGAGAGAGAGAGTGACAAGAAAAGTATATATAGTGATTCGAGGGGATCTACATCAGTAGTATGTACTAGCAGCTACAAAAAGTATATTCATTGTGGTCGATGACGTGAAGGTCAGTGCTACTTATTGACGGGGTAATATTTTCACTGTGGATAGTAGGGACTATCATCAGAGGGGATTTAGAGGAAAATTTGATTTTGGTGTAGGATAGTCCATACATACTATAGGACAGAGGATTATAGGATCAAGAGCATATAGTGAAAGAAAAACCAACATGATGGATGACAAAGTTGTTAGTGGTAGTTAGAGGGAGATGTTGCTCCATGACTGAGTGCACCTACTCTAGTGATGCTACATGTGTATAACTTACATTATTTTAAAGATCAAAAACCTGAAAGCTCTACTAATAAGAAATTTATTTGAATGATTGAATGGCATAACATATCATGCATAATTGAATGACATATGATACAATGAACTGTATGACTGTATGATTTTTTACGAGTTTTAATTTGATTTGATTTGATTTAATTTTTTATCGTATAGATTTGGATGACATGTAATTGAATGAACTGCATGACCAAGAAAGGCAATTACGTGTCTTCAAACACCTATTTATAAAGCACAACATTTCCCTGCTTGCTAAGCAGTCACAAATACTAATTTTCATGCAACGAATTTCTCCGCCTACTAAGAAAAGCAATAACTGATACTTATATCATGTAATCACATTTCCCTGCCTGCTGAGAGAAGAAATCACGGGCACTTAATTTCACGCATACAAAATTTCCACATGCTAATAAAAGAAGTCACAGACACACGCATCATGCATGAAAAATTATAAAATTAATAGTGTCTAGATTTATACCTTAGCAGTAAGGCGACCAAGGTGGCGACGACAACACAAGAGACTTTGGGGGTGGCCGATGGCTTGCCTGAGAGAGAACCGAGAGAGGGAGGGAGGAGAGAAGGGGGGCGATAGGGTGAGAGGGTTTAAGTGAGAGGGAACGTGAGGAGGGGTATTTTAGGGATATTAAAAAAAAATTTAAATCTCTCTTCAAATATATAATTAATCGTGCATCAACTTGCTCATCATATCATCATTATTTGCACACGTCAATGTCGCCTCAATTTGATTTTCGGTCGACATGCATCTAGTGAGTTACACGCAGTTTCGAACTCTTTCGCTTTTGAATTTCATCTTACTCGATCAACTCAACCCCGACAATAGTATTGAGATCAACAACTGAAATTACTAATGATATCTTTGGTCTCATGGAAATGTTAATGTTCACAGCTCTATTGCCAAAATCTAATGCAGTTCACAGTTAAAAAGATGGATGACAATCAATTGTCATTATCTCTCTTCCAACCCAAATCCATGAGATATAAATGAGCTAACATTCTCTTAAATTAGAATAAAATCTATTGAAAGTTCTTTCTGCTTAAGCGAAAAGGCTTACATCTTCAACGCCATAGAAATTGCTGAACAAAACTGCAATTTCACCATCTGGTTTAAACTTGAAACTTGGAAATCAAGCTTATGGATTTAAATAGTTTTGAAATATGCGTGTGACTGATGAAATTAGCAATCAAATCATTATGATAAAGGCTTAGACTTTGTTTGGTATTACTTTCTTACTGCTTCTTATAATAATTTTTTAGTATAAAATTTTAATTTTTGTACTAAAAAACTACCGTAAGAATCAGTAAGAAAGCAGACCCAAATGAAGCCTTAGTTTAGGACAGTTTTTTTACTGCTTTCTAAAGCAGCGTTTTAGTACAAAAAATTTTATATTAAAAAGCTGCTTTAGAAACTAATAAGAAAATTGTCCCAAATGAAACCTAAGATTACCTGAATCATGCTAGAACATAACTGAAGAAAGAGTTTCCTCTAATTTCAACTATAGATTTCAATCCATGAAGCAGTACAAAAGAACTCGCTGGAATCATCCAAACAATAAAACTATTGAAACATAAGCCTTCTGCGTATTTAATTGTCTGCAGCTCTAAAAGCATCACCCAAATGAAAGCACAAACTGCTAGTCATGGTCCTCCTACCAACTGCGCCATTGCCCTTCCTCATCATTGTAACAAACTCAGCATAATCTATCTGCCCATCCTGCAAATGATCCAAGAAAACAACATGTTTGGGCCATTTAATAATTAGAAGTATTAGTGACTGAGGTTTTGTTTGTGACGGCTTTTTTACTACTTCTTAAAGTAGCTTTTTAATACAAATTTTTTAATTTTTGTACTAAAAAATTGTTTTAAGAAGCAGTAAAAAAACAGTCTCAAACGAAACCTAAACCTTTATCTCTGTTTTAAGAGAATGATTTGACAAAAAAGAAATATTTTGAGATGTTACTGACATTGTTTTGATCTATCTCTTTGATCATTTCGTCAAGGTGGGCATCAATGAGTCCAAAATCTTTGCATGCTTGTGAGAGCTCATCAATGGTTATATAGCCACTTCCATCTTTGTCAAAGTAGGAGAAAGCAGATACCAGGTTTTCCTCTCTCTCCAACTTGTTCAAGTGCAAAGTAGCAGCAAGAAATTCACCATAATCTATTGTGCCACTGTTGTCTATATCAGCCTGTGATCAGTTAATTTTAATTGATTCATAATTTCAATAATAATCATGAAATAATATGCCATTATTTTGAATGTAATATAGTACAAAAGGTTTTTTTTTTAGGTAAAACATCGGAGTTAAAGAGAATCGTCTTAGATGATTTGGTCACATTAAACGGAGGCCTTCCGATCACCCGGTTAGGAAAGTTGAGGTATTAGATTTGACTTATGTTAAGAAAGATAGAGGTAGACCCAAAAAGATTTGGTTAGAAATATTACAAATGATCTTTCTTGATTAGATTTAAATGAGTGACTTTTAACAGGACATAATGATGAAAAAGAATTCATGTAGCCGATTCCACATAGTGGGGCAAAGGCTTGATGTTGTTGTTGGTAAGACATCAGAGTATATTTACTTACAGCATCCATGAGAGCCTGGATCTCATGTTCTGTCAGTTCAGCGCCAAACCTTCTCAAGCCATCTTTTAGCTCATCAAATGTTATGGTTCCACTGTTATCTGTATCAATCATCTTGAACAATTCTTTTAGTCCACCAATCTCTTCTTCTGACAGGCGTTCTGCTATGACCTGAAAAAAGGAATTAAATAGATAATGTATTATCTGGTGACCTGATTTGCATAAGCAGCTATAACAACACTAGCAAATCACATTAAAGACAACTACTGTAACGATCCACATGAAAAAAAATCTATAGAAAAAAATAAAGTAAAATAGTATTGGTCATGAATCTTTTTTTTCAAGGCATGCACGAATGCATGTAAGCATAAAAATGTCTAAAATGTAAGTTTGATCACTTCTAATACAACAAGTTCACACAATCAAACAACGATCAAATCAGAAACCATTGTGAACTCCACATCTGTCTAACTCCACATAACGGCAGCACTGATATTTGTTAAGTCCATCTAGAGCAAATTACTCCTGCCAATGCAGCGGTGTTATTTTGCATTAGTTGTATCATTGTGGTCATCTTGTCATAATATTCATATTGGTGTTAAGCGGCGAGGTTTCTTTATCTGTTGTCTTCATTCATTGATGTATTTATTTTGCGTTCGAACTAATGTAGCACTGTCAATGAATATTAGCTCTTGTTCTCTGTCCTTTCTCTTGCTCATCTTCTAAGGAGGAACTTGGGTACTCTTCTTGTTTTTTATTTAGTTGTTGTCCTCAAGAAGGAATAGCAAATCCAACCCCATAATGTCGTTGATAGATTTTACGAGGGGCGACTCATTGTTATGCCCTCTTCAAGCGATACTCTAAATTTTGGTTCATTGTGCGAGATGACAAGTTCCTCAATTGAGGGACTAAGGTTGAAATTGATCTCTGCCCGAGAGGGTGGAGTTACATGGTGACGGGATCCCTTAGAGAAATTTCCGAGGTATTGACCATCATGGGCAACAACAAGATGGGCCTTCTTTTTGGGCACTCATTCTTTTTATAATTTATCAATGGCGGATCTTTGGGGAGTATGAAACAAATATCATGTGTTCCTTCTGCAAAACTTTTCTTCTTGAGGCTTTGACCTCTATATCTATTTCACCTCGATTTTCAACATTTGGAGCTTGCCTTAGTCATTCTTTTCCTATCACAATAGATGATAGGTTGTTTGTAGGGGTCATCTTGACCTCTATAAAATTGTCCACTGATGCATCTTCTTCATTAACCCCTTCTCATTGAGAACTTTGAACGACAAAATCTCAGGCTCTTTCTTCAGAGGGGTAGGGGCTTGGAGCTGCTGAGACCACAAAGATTGCTTCAGATTACTAGTAGCTATTCCTCTTTAATTATTTCAAAATTTTAAATTTATTTTTTTATTGGGAATGTCACTTATAGCTCTAGATTATGTGGTTTCATGGGCTGTTCTAACAGTAGTTGTTAAGCTTGCAACTCAGTACTATGCCTCCTTTGCCTTCTAAATAGCTTTCTCTCTAGATGAGAAAGCTTCAACAGCATGCTTTCTAGGTGCAAAAGGCCCAGTTGATAGCATGCTAGTATTGATAGGTATGGCAGAAACCTTATGTCCAATGATAATCCTTTTCATAGCTGGGATGATGTAGGAACATCATAGCTAATATTAAGCTTAAGGACTAGCCTACCTTTCATGCTCTAGATAGTTCTATTTTGCTCTATAAATAGTTAGCTATTGTAAGAGATGGGGATCATTGAAGAATATTAAGTCATTTTAAAGCTTTGAAGCTTTGTTTCTCTTCTTCCCTGAATTGGGGTCGAAATCCTTCTTACAGGTCGAGTCTTCTGACGATCCACTACATCAGTTGGTATCAGAGCCTGGAGCTTGTGAAGATCGATGGACAGCGGAAGAAGGTCGGCTGTCAACGACGATCGAAGCCGCAGAATAAGATTGGCGGTCGACAACGATCGACGCCGAGGAAGGTGGGTTGTCGACGATGCTCGAAGCCAGATCGCCTTCTATCAAGCTCAAGAGAAGGAATCACTCAATTGGGTAGACAGAAACCTTGATCGGATTGACAGAAACCTTCGGGTAATAAGGAAGATGCGAATGTCGTCGGCAACCATACCGATGTATTCTTCTTCTTCTTCGCTCTCCTCGTCCGCTCCACGCAAACGCCATCAGTCCCGCCATTCTCCCACCGTCGTTGATGACTACCCTCCACTCGAACTCCCTCTTCGATGGCGTGATCCGCCGCCGGAGTATCCGCCGCTCGAGCTTCCGCTCCGATGGCACGATCCTCCTCCGTTCCAACGTCCTTTGCTAGATTCACAAATTCCGTATACTTCGCCTCGCAAACGGAACTGCGATCTTGATCCGCTCCAGCTCGATTCCGCTCCAATAGACACATCTCCAGAGGTCAGACCGGCGAGCGCAAGTAGTTGAAGGTCGGAGATGGGAATGCCGTCATGAGGGTTTGGGGCGTATCCCACTTCCGGGTTGGGAGTTTTGGAGGCCGGTGGGTTTGGCTTGGTCGCACACCCTAACGGCTTGCAACCAAGCCAAACCCACAACCAAGCCAAACCCACCGGCCTCCAAAACTCCCAACCCCGACGACCTGCCGCCGCTCCGTCGTCGCCGACAGCAGTCGACCAGGCCCCCGCTGACCAGACTCCCGCACACCCAGCCGCCGATACGCCGACCCAACGCGTGTGTGACTTCGTCCGTCTCTTGCCCGATCGGGCTACCAAGGAAGCGATCCCTTTCGATCCGACGTAGGATTCGTCGATCCATCTCCAATGTGCTCCACCTGAGCCAGTCGACCCGCCTCTCGCATGCCTTAAGTCTAACGTCGCCGCCTGTTCCGACTAAGACGACACCGTAACCACTCCCGATCAGCTTCGTCCACACGTCGTCGGCCGCTCGGTTCTGTTGCCATTGTTGTGTGGAACAGATGAAGGTAGTTATGGCTATGGTGAGAATAATGCCCTCGAGGAATTAGCGGTTGAAGCTGCCAAACGAATTGAACAACAATTGGTGGATCATGGAAATGGGGAGATTGAGTTAAATGACAACTATATTGTTTGTACTGAGGACGTTCTCATTGCAGGTGTGAAAATGACTGGTATAAATTCTAGTGACAAGGCTGATCCAACACAACGCTCCCAAGCTGTTCGACGAAATGCCGCTAAAGGATTCGAACCAAATTTGAAGGGGCTAGAGGAGGTTGTGCAAAAACTTGATACAGTTCCAGCTGAGGTTGTAGTGTTTCAGCAACTTAATTACCTTCATAACTTTGTTCAATCAACATTAGATGCACTTACTTCCGAGAAAGTAAAAGGTGCGACGCTTGTTGTTTCTGGGGATGGCCGATACTTCTCAAAAGATGCTATTCAGATCATCATAAAAATGGCAGCTGCAAATGGAGTCAGACGTATGTGGGTTGGTCTAAATGGGCTGCTCTCCACGCCCGCCGTGTCTTGTGTCATTCGTGAGAGAGTCGGTGCAGATGGATCATTTAAATATGAAGTCATGGCTACAAAAACCAAGATTTATTTTGTGATGGAATATGCCAAAGGAGGTGAGCTTTTCAACAAGATTGCAAAGGGCAGGCTTGAGAAGGATGTTGCAAGAAAATACTTTCAACAGTTAATCAGTGCAGTTGAATTTTGTCACAGCAGAGGTGTTTATCACCGTGATCTAAAATCTGAAAACCCCCTCCTTGATGAAGCTGGTAATCTAAAGCTCTCAGATTTTGGTTTGAGTTCTCTTGTGGAGTCTAAGAGGCAGGATGGTTTACTGCACACTACCTGTGGAACTCCACCTTATATTTCTCCTGAGGTGATTGGGAGGAAAGGTTATGGTGGAGCTAAAGCTGATATTTGGTCATGTGGGGTGATCCTCTATGTACTCTTAGCTGCTTATCTACCTTTCCATGATACAAACTTGATGGAGATGTACAGGAAGATCGAGAAGGCTGAATTTAGATGCCCATATTGGTTTCCTACTAAAGCGTGGAAGTTGTTGTCAAAGATCTTAGTCCCAAATCCAAGTACCAGAATTCCAATTGTTAAAATTATGTCACATTCATGGTTTAGAAAGGGATTTGAAGCTAAGTCAAAAGAAAAGATTCCTACTGCTCTTACCTCAACTTTTAACTCCAATGGTAGCAACAGTCAGGTTGAGCAAAAAGAGGATAGTTTGAAGGCAACAAGCATGAATGCATTTGATATAATCTCTCTTTCTGATGGATTTGATCTTTCTGGTTTATTTGTGGACCTTGACCGCAGAAAAGAAGCACGTTTCACTTCTTGGTTGCCTGCAGCAGCCATTATCTCAAAGCTCGAGGAAGTTGCCAAAAGCCTGAGGTTTAAAGTGTAGAAGAAGGATGTTGTGGATGCTGATGAATTTGGGTACAAGGATCTGGTGGATGGTTCAGTCTCCAAGCACCAGAGAATCCGTTTCTTGTTTGCATATGGTTCCCGGCTGGTATTCCGCCTATCTGGAACTGGCTCAGAAGGTGCCATAATTAGGCTCTACATTGAGCAATATGTGAAGGATTCTTCAAGACTTCGAGGGACTCACAGGAAGCCTCTTCATGTGGTAATTTTAAAATCTGCATTCAAAGTCTTCGATCCAGGAATTTGTTTGTCACCCTACCTCCCTTCTAATAACGTGCCTCGATGGAGTCGAGCTTTTTGACACAAGGGGAGAATGATGTAGGAACATCATAGCTAATATTAAGCTTAAGGACTAGCCTACCTTTCATGCTCTAGATAGTTCTATTTTGCTCTATAAATAGTTAGCTATTGTAAGAGATGGGGATCATTGAAGAATATTAAGTCATTTTAAAGCTTTGAAGCTTTGTTTCTCTTCTTCCCTGGATTGGGATCGAAATCCTTCTTACAGGTCGAGTCTTCCGACGATCCACTACATCATGAGATCTTTGAATAAGAGTATTTCAGATACTGAGATTCTCTTTTGAGAGATCCCCACAATGGTGGCAGCTCCAATAGATCTTGCTCACTGAACGGGCTAGTGTGTATGCCATACAGGTGCTTCAGCAATATAAGGTCTTCCAATATGGCCTCAAATAGTCATACTTGTAACGAGCACTATAGCAGCCTTGATTTTAAATTTTAATTTTATGATACATTTACTACTACTATAGCCTATGCACAACCAAATTGAAAACAAAAACCTTCTGATGAGGACATTAGATTTCGAGACGTGTACCATCGCCGGAGATGCAGATCGACGGCTACGATTCAGGGCCTCTATTTCTGATTTATTTGCATTTTATTTATGCTTGTATTTCTTTTCCTAGTTTGCCCCTGTGGGCATTGAGTCATTCATGTAGCCCTGAGGGCATTCGTGTCATTTTAGTTTTTATTTTATTTTGGCCTACTTATAAGAGACCTCATGCAATGTAAGAGTTTTAGTTTTAATTTTGATGAATGATTGAATGAAAAAACTACTCCACTTGGTGATCTCTTAGTGAGTTTTTTAGATCTCTTTGTGAGTTCTAAAATTTTTCCAAGTTTTCTTTGTGAATTTTCGGGTAGAAGCATTTGAGATGAGTGAATCCCTTGCTCCTCAAATTTTATTCTTCTTTTTGCTGTTTTCTTGAAGTGATTTCCCCTCCCCCCAAAGTCCCTTGTCGCCGGCCCCATAGGGCCAACCAAGCCGCCGGCCCCATAGGGCCAACCAAGCCGCCGGCCCTAGCAGCCTCCCACCACCGGCCGGCCATTGATTCCCCTCCCTCCTCTAACCCCAGCCACCCCTTAGCCGCCGGCCACCCTCCTTGGGAATTCGAATTTGAAATTTCAAATCCTCACTAGAGATATAAATGACCTTCATAAAATAGCTACTTGATTTTAGACAATCTTTTAATTGAATTTCAATTCAAATTTATTCCAATTGATTGCCCTCATATTTAGAAACTTTCCCCACATAAAAAAAATCTGAAATTTCAAATCATATTTTTTTTTAATAAAATATGTCATTAATTTTGTGGGCCCCCTTTAATTAAAACTCAAGCCCCTCTCTCCTATTCATGTGGCTGGCCCCTTAATGGGCCCCTCTCTCTCTCTCCAAATTACATTAATAGCTCCACTAAATCAGCCCCAAACTTCTCCCCATTGCCGCTCCTCTCTCCCTCTTAGGATTGATTTGAATTTTAAATTAAATCCTCCCCCAAACTTCCAAAATCTGAATTTATTTCAGAATTCCTGCACTTACCTCTTGGCCTCTCATCCTAGTCGAACCCCCTCAAGACCTAAAGCCGGCCCAACCCTCTCCCCCTCCAAGCCGCCACCTCCCCTTCCCTTTCTCCCTATTGGTGCTCTTTCAATTTCCGGCAAGGATGCATGGCGGATCCTGAAATCGATCACGGATTCGTACTCGACGCCCACGGAGTCATCCACATCGTTCGATCACCATTCTTCGACGTTGGGTTTGGTTTTGACGACACCGTTGAAGATTACTTGAACCGAATCCTCCCCCATCTCCTGGACATCCTCGACGATCAATTCTTGGACTACGAGTAGACCATCAACAGCCATCCACCCGTTTCTCCAACTCCCGCTTCTTTCCCGGCAACGAGTCCTCTCAGCATCACTTGTGTAATAGTGGTATCTCTAAGTGTGCTTACGATCCTCTTCCGCTAACCTCCACCTTCAAGAGTGAGTAAAGGACTTCGAGGTGAATGGTCTATATTTTAAACGTGAGGCTTTGTTATAGTTGGCTATTTGCATTATCTAACTTCTTGGTTGTTAATTTTGCAAGTTCTCGTAATATCAATTGTGGCCTATTGCTATTGCTTTATCTTTCATGCTATTTTCTAAAACCTTTACTTGAGTAAAACTAGTTTTTATGGGTAGTATGTAATGTTCATAACCTCTATTAATCTCTTAAATTGCAATTTTTGTATCCGCATTTAGTATCACATCACCTTCTCGAGTAGAGTCACTAGAAATCTGTAAGTTCTTAAAATTTATGTCTTGGCTCTCATGAGAGAATTTTGGGTATTTCACGTCAAATTTTCATAAAATAATTTTATTTAAAATAAGATAATATCCATATATTTTGCCCTAATTTTGCGAGGACTTTATGACATGGTTTTCGATTTTCCATAAGTATAAGCCCCTATGGTTTTCTACCCTGTTGACAAGAGAAAACTTTCGATTAAAGGATTATCATTAGAAGATAAGTGCTTAGCATATCATTACAGCAAGTTGATTTAAAACTGACAAATGCATTGCATCAACTCAAAGCAAATAATTGGTGAAATGGTGATGAACCCGATTAAAATCCTATGATTATGTCATTTCAAATCATCATGAACTTTTATCGGCTTAGTTAGCAAAGTTAGTCAACCCAGCCAAACTGACTTGCTTTGTCCAAAGGGACCTTCTAAAATTGAGGTTGATATTTGCCTAGATAAATATATGTCGCCCTTCGCTAATAGAGAGCTTTATGCATTATAAAGTGCATCTCATAATTCTCAACTCAATGATTTTTAAGCCCTTTGAGAAATTCCAAACTCTGGTCGTGACCTTAACTTATGGTATCATTTTATGACAAAATCAATTGACTAAAAGGCCTCAGCCATAATCATTTACTTGTGGGGACATTTGATAACAAACATCAATTAGAGGAAAAGTGTCTCATTCTTAGTCACATGGGATCTTTTGAGAGCGAGCATAATCATATGCTTGACAAGAAATTGACTCTTAATGAGCTTAGGTTAATCTTAAATTTGTCACCCCCAACAAATTATTTTGGATGATAAATAATGGTTGCTTTAAGTTTGGGGGTAGATTTCACTTAAATGTTTTTGCATTATTTTTTTTAAAGATTTTTATAGTGTTATCTAAATATGACCTCGAAATAATTTGCATTTGGATTTGGGGATATTTTAATGGTAACATCCCCTTTGGTTGAGGTCTCGATCAACAAGGTCATGATAAGGGGTTTTGAATGTTTTCATTTTGTTATTCCCAACCTAGTAAACTTTGCCAATTTGTTTGTAAAGGATTGGATCATATTTCATCCACTATATGTGTGTGCGCATGTGTGTTTTGAAAGAAAATATTATCTCTTTATGTCTCAAAATAACATTTGAGGGATTAGCATCATAGTATTTATCGTTTCAGATCCCCATGAAAGTAATTGTTGTATAAATCAATAAAATGCTTTAGTCCACCTAGGCACAAATCTCAATGATTGAAACTCTGCAAAAATAAAATCAGAGAATAACTTACACGTAGTGCCAACTTCTTAAGCTTATTCATTGCAGAAAAATGCTTCAGGCGTGAAACAACAGCAGAATCCAATGGCCGATCAGGTGCTACTGTATCATCAACAATCCATGGGTGACCTGGCATATGACATAGCTATAATGAGACTAAAAAATCAACGCACCATATTTCACTGAAGAAATATAGAATCAAACTCATTGACATAATTATCTAAGTCAGGCGGAAACACTAAAACACAAATGCTCATTCAGATACTCACAAAGAACTTGGTGAGCTGTAAACCTTAGTTTTGGATCTCGATTCAGCATGTTTTTTATCAATTCTTTAGCACTATCGGATATGCTGGGCCATGGTTCAGATTCAAAATCCAACGGCCCTTCTAAAATCTGTTTGAAGATCCCCGCTTCCGTTTCTGAGGTTAAAACGAGATTCAACTAAGGCTACGTTTGAGATGACTTTCTTACTACTTCTTAAAGCAACTTTATAGTAAAAAAGTTTATTTTTTATACTAAAAAACTGTTTTAAGAAGCAGTAAGAAAGCCGTCCCAAACAAAGCTAAAAATGCCAATAAGGTGCTAAATGAAATGCGAGAAAAACATATAACTTGTGATGCTATTCGACATCAATCAACAAAGAGTAAAAAGATTTAATAGAACCTGCCCAAAATGGTGGAACCCCACTTAACAAAATATACAAAATCACTCCAACACTCCATACATCTGCTTCTGGACCATAATTTTTAAGTAGTACTTCAGGGGCAACATAGTAAGGACTCCCCACTAAATCAGAAAACATTTCACCTGCGGATGAAGGCGGAGTAAATAAATAATTTGCAAGAACTTCTATTTTGAAAAACAAGACAGCTAAGATAAATACAGTTAAGAATCTCAAGGTTATAATAGCATTGTTTTACAAGTCAAGAAGCTTTGGTAAAATTGTAGGGGCAGACCCGAGGCATGAGGCTTTTCACTAATGCAAGATCTAGAGATAAATTAATGTATGAGATCTTCCATTCATTGCAAAGAGACTGATTCAATGATTCCAGTAAGTGACCTCCAGATTACAATGAAGGCGATGTAAAAATTACTCCATGGCCACCAAAAGCAAGGCCTTTGCAAAGATAAGAAAATTGTTTTTTATTTCATCTTGAGATTTGTGCTCCATCTCTCACTAAGACATAAAAGTTTAGCTCTTTGAATAAATATAAAACAAATCAAAATCAAGTTATGATTATGATTAGCTTTATCCTGGCTATTTGGGTTTGCTTTATGAATTCTTCTCCATTCAAATTCTTGAGTTCTACATGAGGTGATAACTTTATCTTAGTCAAGTCTTTCTGTACATCTCTATTACCTTCTGTCTTCCTCTTTTACTTCCTATTCCTTTCGCATTATCTCTAAATTCTGAAATGCTTCGTTGTGGCTTGCAAACTGTTTCTGTGAATATTCTAATGCATTTAATGAGAAAAATAAAATGTCTAGGTATCTATTCTACTTTCAGCTTCAAAAATAAGTTTCAAACATAAATGCCATGACCAAGAAACAAATTAATTAGCCTCAATTAAAATGAACGAACCACACAGGTGATAAATTTATCTCTTAATAGATGCACAACTGCAAAAAGCTAGTATTAGCCTCGAACTTGAAGAAGATGAGCACATTTCCGATGTCATCAAGCCAATAAATTTTCATACTGGTTACAATAACTCCGCTTTCTTGGAGCATAATGTAACCAAACCAGAATTTTTCTATACATAACGGCAAATTCTTCACATTTAGCCCCAGAAACATCTTTCAAACGAATTAGAATATGCAGAAAACCATGGGAACACAAGGATTGAAATGCGTTATTACCACAATTGTTCATATTGTTAAAATGACATTGAACTACTAAAGCAAATTTCCATAATGATAAAAGCTTGAACAGACATTTTTAGTTGATGTTTATGGAGCTTGAAAACTTGTTTAGATGAATGATTGTCACAATAAAGTTTTAAAATGCTGAAAATCAGCTCAATAGCCCTTCTCCTATAAGAAGAGATTTGGGTAAAAGTTTCAAAGATATGAACAAAAAGATTGAACGGAGATAGAATTGGGGGTGGGATTGCATGGTTTTGATAGCTCTCAGTTCTAGTAGGGCAGTTACTGCACAATAAAATAAAAATGTAGAATTGACTTTTCTAATTGAATGCACCAACCAAAACATGAGATAGCTTAAATACTCGAACCCTTCAAAAAGGTATCTCAAAAATCTAAAGCACATATGAGAAACATGACCGTAATTGCTCTCACCCTTAAAGAGGAAGAGTCTGAGATTTAGATCTCAAAAACCAAAAGCACATATGTGCACCAAGACCATAAATACTCTCATCCTTCAAGAGGAGATTTAAGTCTGAATCTCAAAAACCCAAAGCACATATGTGCACCATGATCATGCCAGACGGAAGGTACGGAAGAGAGAAAATAGTTGAAGTGACAAGATGTGCAGAACCATAAGACCACAATAATGGATATGTGTTGATACCAAAATGATTAATTGATATATTTTAATAATTTAAAGTGACATTGTATTATTCAAGCTTAGGTCCATAATACTAAGAGCTGGAACAGTTGTTAGTTGATGTTTAAGGAACTTAAAATCATGTTTAGTTGCATGATTATACTATAACTAAATTTCAAACAACTGAAAATTGGCTCCATAACCCTTCTCCTCTAAGAATTGATTATGGTTTCAATCTCAAAGATATGAACAAAAATACGAGTGCACGCACCTCCACACATACACAATTAGGGGTGTAGGCTTGGGATTTTGATATCTCAGTTCTAGGAAGGCAATAATTGCGCATTAAAAAGCAAATGTAAGTTGAATATTATAAATAATTGAATTGACTTTTATAACTAACAGCACCAACATAAAAAAGAGATGGCCAAGATACTCTTAACTTCATGAAGAGATTGGGTTTGAATCCAAAGACCAAAAGCACACATGCGCATCATGGGTATCCACACAGAGAGAGGGCAAGGTTGGAAGAAAAGTTCGAAGTGTTTAATCCATTGTATGCAACTACCCTAACTAAAAAAGCAATACAATAATTGAAATAGTGTGCTTAACAAAGAATTGAGAAGATCAACAAGCTAGGCCAAAACATATGAAGTACAAACATGTTTCTCAATTATTAGTTCCATAAATTGTCACTATAACGAAAACCCTAGAGTCCTAGATGATAACTAACATATGTGTCCACTAAATAATGCTTGTTAAGAGCATATGATGAGTAAGAGCCACATGTGTTGGGTATGAGGAGTAAACACCACAATGATGAAACAAGCAAGAAAATAAAACAACAACATCAAGCCTTTATCCCACTACGTGGGGTCGGCTACATGAATCCTTTTCTCCATTGTGTCCTATTAAAAGTCAAATTCTCATTTAAATTTAATAAAGAAAGGTCATTCCTAATATTTACTAACCAAGTCTTTTTAGGTCTGCCTCTACCTTTCTTAACATAGGTAAAATCTAATACATCTAATTTCCTAATTGGGTCATCGGAAAGCCGCCATTTTATGTGAACAAACCATCTAAGGCGACTCTCTCTAATCTTATCTTCTATTTGAGCTACTCCAACCTTTTCACGTATATGCTCATTTCGTATCCTATCTCTAAGGGTAAAGCCACTCATCCACTTGAGCATTCTCATCTCTGCCACACTTAACTTAGTATTATGCTTCTCTTTTAATGACCAACATTCGGCATCATAAAGCATTGCAGGCCTCACCACCATCTTATAGAATTTTTCCTTAAGTTTGAGGGGTACTTTTCTATCACATAACAAGCCTGATGCTTTCCTCCACTTCAACCATCCAACTTGAATTCTGTTGATAATATCACCATCTATTTCACCATCACTATGAACAATAGATCCAAAATATCTAAAACGTGTACTCTTATTAATGACTTGATCACCCAAAGTTACAATCCCCTCACTAGGTCTATTACTACTAAAATTACATTCCATATATTCTGTTTTAGATTTACTCAAGCGAAAACCTTTAGACTCTAAGGTTGACCTCCATAATTCAAGTTTACCTTCAACTCCCTCTCTAGTCTTATGAATGAGAAGAATATCATCAGCAAAAAGCATACATCAAGGTACATCCTCTTGCAAATGTCTAGTGAGAATATCCATGACTAAAGAAAAAAAATAAAAGCAGCGAAAAAATAAAGGACACAAGAATTTAACGTGGAAAAACTCAAAATAGGGAAAAAAATCACAAAGCCACACCACACCAAGAAATCCACTATGAAAATTGAGAAAAAAAATATAGATCTCTCTTCTCTCTCAATCTCTCCTTGTTTCTCTTCTCGCACGCACCATTTTCAATATCTAACCTAACAAAATACAAGAGAAAGCCAAGTAAAATAACTCCAAGGACCCTTTAGAAAAATGAGAAACAAAACCGTCCAGTACGTCTCGCATCGTTGCGGCACTTGAACCTCTGTCTTAATCCACTGCAGTGTCGCATCTATGTCATTGTGGCGCTCTGCTCTATGTCCTTCAGCGCTGGGGCGCTAGGAAACACAACGTCGGGGCACTTGAGTACATAGTGCCGAGGCGCTCAGGTACACATTGCCAGGCCTTTTACAGAAAAAAAATTATGTGGTGCCCAACGATAACGAGAAACTTGAGGTCCAAGGCAACAGAAATTCTCGATTGATCAACACAATCAGATTCCACACATAACATCATCTCCCACTTAGAAACTGATGGCAATCAATCCTTCTCCCGATCTATACCATCAGTCATAGTACCTGTAGTATGGCTCACCCCTGCTCTCATCCTCCATGAAGACCAACTGAAGCTATCTGATTGCTTCAGTTTATCAACTGTCGCCATCTTCTTCAACAAGTTTGTAGGATTCTCAGTTGTGTGCATCTTCTCCAAAGATAACTGACCATCTTCTAGAAGCGACCTGATGAAATGATATCGAAGTTGGATGTGCTTTGTCCTGGCAGGAATGCAGTATTCTTGGCTAAATGTATAGCACTTATGTTTTCATTATGCAGCTTTCCATTCCTTTGCCCTTACCAAGTTTTGTCAAGAAATTTTGCAACCAAATCATCTTCTTGCTAGTCTCAGTGATGGCAATGTACTCCGCTTCTCTGGTTGAGAGCACAACAATCTTCTGTAACTTGGAAACCCAATTGACTGCAGTCTTTCCTAAAATGAAGATATGACCTATTGTGCTTCTCCTACCAACAAGATCTCTAGCAAGATCAGAATCTTCATAACATGTAGATTAATATCTGCACCACTAAAGCAAAGAGCTTTGTCAACTGATCCTCTCAAGTACCTAAGAATCCACTTAACCGCCTCCCAATGAAGTTTGTCTGGGTTACTCATAAATCATTAAATCTGCTGACTACTCTCACTGTTTTTCTATATCAGATCTTGTGCATATCATAACATACATCAAACTTCTAACTGCTGAAGCATATAGAGTCTTCATCTAATCTTTCTCTGCTTCTGATTTAAGAGATTGTTCCTTGGATAGTTGAAAGTGATTACCCAAGGGAGTGCAAACTGGCTTTACCCCACTCATGTTGAATATCTAAAGCACCTTTTCAACATACTCATCCTAAGACAACTTCAATATACTTGTACTTCTATCTTTACTGATTCTCATACCAAAAATTTTCTTTGTTGGACCAGATCTTTCATTTCAAACTCCTTTGATAAATGTTCATTTGGATATTTTATCTTCTCCATATTTGAACCTGTAATCAGCAAGTTATCCACATACAAAAGCAAAATAATATAACAATTATAAAAATATTTGAAAAAATAACAATGATCTGCCTGGCACTTCGTGTACCTATTATCAGACATAAAGCTATCAAATCTCCTGTACCACTGTCTTAGTGTTTGCTTCAGTCTGTGTAAACTTCTTCTAAGTTTACACACCAAATCTTCATTACCTGTGACCACATATCCCTGAGGTTGAATCATATATAACTCTTCATCAAAGTCACCATGAATAAATAATGTCTTTACATCCATTTGCTCTAGTTGTAAATCCTCAACTGCTACCATGCTTAGTACAACTCTGATTATACTCATCTTCACCACTTGAGAGAAAATTTCAGTGAAATTCACTCCTTTCTTATGCTGAAAACCTTTAACTACAAGCCTGACCTTGTAGTGCTTGCTACCATTAGGTTCTTTTTTCAGCCTATAAACTCATTTGTTTTGCAGTGCTCTCTTGCCACTTAGTAGCTCTGTCAACTCCCAAGTCTAATCCAACTCAAGTGAATGCATTTCATCATCCATTACTTGCTCTCACTTCTTTAAATCATCAACTTGAATGACTTCATCATAGCACTCTAGTTCACCACTATCTATTAGTAATATATAGTACAATGAAGGAGGATACCTTTGTACTGGCCTTGAAATTCTGCTACATCTTATTTCAGTAGTAAGAGTCTGAGGTACTCTCTATATTTCATCAGCTTTATCTTCTTGATCATCATCATCCTCAATTTCAATATATTTGGAAGAATCTTCAAGAGTCTCATTTCTAACCTTGTATATTTCATATTCATTGAATTTAACATCCCTGCTCCTGATGAATTTATCATTCTGATAATCCCAGAATTTGTAGCCAAATTCATCTGAGCCATATGCAATAAATGTACACTTGATAGATTTTAGATCGAGCTTACTCCTAGATCCTACATTAACATGAATATAGGATGAATAACTAAAAACTTTAAGGTGGGATATACTAACCTCATTTCCATTCCAGACTTCCTCAGGTAACTCCTCATTCCGAGGAACTGAAGGTCCACAATTGATTAGATAAACTGCAATATTCACTGTCTCTACCAAGCTCTGTTTGGGTAGACTAGCATGTAATCTTATGCTCCTGGCATGCTCAATGATAGTTTTATTCATTCGCTCTGCAACACCATTCTGTTATGGTGTTATTGGAACAGTAAACTCATGTCTGATCCCATTCAAAGCACAATACTCCTTAAACTTCTTGTCACGATGCTCACCACCATTATCTAATATGAGACACTTGAGCTTCAGACCTGTCAAAGCTCAACCATGGTCTTCCACTTCTTAAAAATAATAAACACATCTGGCTTGTATTTTAAGTACACCCATACCTTCCTACTGTGATCATCAATAAATGTGACAAAATATAGAGATCCTCTTATAAAAGTAACTGGGGCAGGACCCCATACATCAGTATGCACTAACTTCAATTTCTTTGACTTGACCTTTGAACCATTATTTGAAAAACTCACCCAATATTGCTTGTCATATATGCAGTCTTCACAAAAATCTAAATACATAGATTTTAAACCATGAAGCTTTCCTCTAGTAAGAAGTGAATGCATATCTTACTTATATGACCAAGCCTTCAATGTCAAAGATCTCCATCAACATCTAAATTTGCTACTCCAATAAAATTTTCTCTTCCATTAATAACATATAAGGTGCCTTTAATGCTGCCACGAGTTATAACCATAGCCCCTTTTGTCGCCTTCCATGTATCTTCTATGAATGATGTCACATGGCCTGAGTTTGCTAGCCAACTCACAGAAAGTAAACTCATCTTCAAACAAGGAACGTGCTTAACATTCTTGAATCTTCAAATGAACCCATCCGGCATTCTAATATCAATATCTCCCTATCCAACAATATTGCAGGATTTGTCGTCCCCAAGATACATTTTACCATAATCACTTTGAGTATAATTCTTGAATGCCTCCTTATTAAGACTTGCATGAAAAGAAGTACCTGAATCTATCACCCAATTTTCAAAATTATCCAGAGATAAAATCAAAGAATTTGACTGAAATTCTTCTGCAGATACATTTGCAGAATTATTTTATCTTGACCTCTACCACTACCCTTCCTTGAAACTATACAATCCTTCTTCAAGTGACCCTTCTTTCCATAGCTCAACCACAAAACTTTTTCTCTACCTGAAATAAACTTTCCTCTCTTGTAAGGAGATATCTTTATGCTAGGATTTCTCTAAAACCCTTCCTTTTACTTTAATATTTAGAGCATAATTTGAAGATTCACCATTCGCCCTCCTGTGAACCTCTTCATTAAGCACTAACCCAGAATGTACTCAAAGTTCAGCTTTGAACTTCCCGAAGAGTTACTCACAGCAGTAACAAGCCCATTCTAGCTTTCTGGCAATGAAGATGACAACATCAATGTTCTCACCTCATTATCAAAACTGATGTCAACTAAACACAATTAACTCATCACAGTGTTCAGATTATTCAGGTGTTTATCCATTGAAGTGTTGTCCAATATCTTCATACTGAATAACTTCTACAGCAGGAACATCTTGTTTGAGGTCAATGACTTCTCATACATCTTAGTCAGTGTGGTCATGAGATCGACAATAATCTTTTCATTTATAATATTGAATACAACATATGAGGAAAGTGAAAGTCGTATCAAACTTAGTGCAGCTCGATCAATAACCTCCCATTCATCCATAGTCATAGAATTCGGCTTCTTGGTGATTCCTTCCAACGGAAAATTCAACTTTTTTTGATATAACAAATTTTCAATTTGCATTCTCTAGCATCCTCTAGAATGTGAAGTTCGAATTATTAAACTTTTCAACTTTGTACCTTGCTTCATCCGCCATTACCCCCTTTCGAACTAAATAACCTTGCTCTGATACCATTCGTCGGGATGAGGAGTAAACATCACAATGACAAAACAAGCAAGAAAGTAAAAGCAGCAAAAAAATAAAGGACAATGATTTAACGTTAAAAATTTAAAATAGGAAAAAAATCACATAGCCACACCACACTAAGAAATCCACTATAAAAATTGGGAGAAATAAGTGCATATCTCACTTCTCTCTCACTCTCTCCTTGTTTCTCTTCTCACATGCACCATTCTCAATATCTAACCTAACAAAGTACAAGAGAAAGCCAAGTAAAATAATCATAAGGGACGCAATCCTTTAGAAAAACAAGAAAGAAAACCGTTCAATCTGTCTCGCAGCGATGCGGCACCAGTTTAAAGTGTTGTGGCGCTTGATCCTCTATCTTGACCCACTGTGGTGTTGTGTCTATGTTGTTGTTGCACTCTGCTCCCTGTCATTCAGTGATGGGGTGCCGGGAACACAACGCCGGGGCGTTGTATGGAAAAAAAAAATCCTAGACAACTTGAGGTACAAGGCAACAGAACAACCCGATTGATCAACACAATCAAATTCCACACATAACACCATAGTTCTAAAATGGAGTTCAAGGCTTATATCTGGCCTCCTAATCCCTTTGCTTAAATGTGCTTTATCTATCCATCTATTCTTACTCAAACCATGCAAATCAATTCCGTCAAATCCAGTTGAATTAAGTTTTGATCTAACAGAATCTATAACTTTACTAGAAATAGCCTTACTTCAATGTAACTCTACTCTAGTTTGAACTTACTTGAAACAAGATTAATAAAAGCTGCATTGGAAAAATCTATTTGAAGAAGTTTTATAAAGCAATTTGAACATTCAAGCATAAATCATCCAAGATTTAGAAATATGATATTGTCTAAGCCTATAACTATATCTATTTCATCAGCGGTGGAGCTAGAAATTTTTTTAGTGGGAGCACAAATTAAAATTTTCAAATATTTACTTAATTTTTTTTATTCATGTTTGAGGCCACAATCTATTTCGATATAAAAATAAGAGTTATAAGAGGATGAATAAAAGAATAAATGTGATTAACTATTTTTTTAATAAAAAAATATTAATAATATAAAAATAATATATATATATATATATACCACAGGCCCCCCTTAGCTCGGGAATATCTAAATAGATATAACAGGAAAAATCTAATATCTAACTCAAATTAGAGTGCAAAAATCGGATTTCTCGAAAGTTAGGAATCATCATTAGCTTGTCCTTTAAGGATCAACTTAAAAAGTTTGTTAAACTTTATAAATTCACCAAGTTCCGTTGCATGGCAAGTCGACAATTTATTAATTCAACTTTAAAGAAACCTGATAATTTCAACTGGGAAGCAGGCAACTACAAGCTGCCAAACCACAAAACAAAAGGGGGCCAATGCAATCCAATGATCTAAATCGAACCTAATAATCAACAGAAGCAAACCTGGCTTGTAGAACGCTGAGAGACCAAAATCCGTAGCTTTGAGCGGCGCATCCTCATCGGTGCTAGAAAACAAGAAGTTTTCCGGCTTGAGATCCCGATGCATCACACCAAGGGAGTGACAAGCCTCCACAACGCCAGCCATAGTCTTGATGAGCTGCACCGCTTTCCTCTCGCTGTAATGCCCCTTCTGTATGATCCTATCAAACAACTCCCCGCCTCCGCACAACTCCATCACCAAATGTACAAAGAGCGTGTCTTCATAGGTACCTTTGATCCTTACTACATGGGGATGCTCGGATAAATGGTGCATGATCTGGATCTCGCGCCAAACGTCTTCATAGTCTTCTCTGCAAAGGAGTTTCCGCTTAGGAATGGACTTGCAGGCGTACTTTTTGCCGTCGGATTTGTCGACGCAGAGGAATGTGGTGCCGAACTGCCCCTGGCCCAGCTTCCGGCCAACCTTGTAGTGGTCGCGGATATTGGAGGTCTTGTAGGGGAGAACTGAGGCAGATTTGGAAGAGGAAGGAGGGTGATAGGACGAAGACTGCTTCATTAGGATCTAAATATTGGTTTTTGAGGCTTAATGATGGTGGATTTTGAATAATTAGAGGGAATAAGGTTTCCGAGAAGATTAGGTAGGGAAATGGGTTTAAAGTTTAGGGGATTAGGTCTTCATGTTGGCTATGAAGATGGTTTTGGTTGATTTCGATCAGAAGAGAGATCTCAAGAGAAAGAGTAGACCATGAGAAGGGGAAATGAATGTATTTTTTCGATGGAGGTGAAGATGTGTGTGTGTGTGTGTGAGAGAGAGAGAGTCACGAAGATGACGGGAGTGAGAAGCAGAGGTCCTCCATTTCGGAGCTGTTGGACTGTAGCTTGTAAGGAAGTCGGGAGGTAATTCCAGGTGAGGCTCAAATTTAATGGTTCTATCGGGATGGAATTGTATGCTGCTTAAAATTACTGAAATATAAAAAAATAATAATTATATAATTGATATATCATCAAAAAATTATTTTGACCAGGCACGAATCTCAAAGCAAAAATCAAATTGAAAATTTCAAAATTTAAATTCGGGATCATCTGAACTCCAATTTCGTCAAACTTATAGTCAAACTGAACGTTTCAGAAATACGAACCCAACGACACCAAATTCGACCCAATCCAAGCTCAAATTGGTTCAAATCGAAGGCCTGAAGCACATTCAATAGGTTTAAACCATAATTTGGATTATCAAACAGTTTTCAAACATGACATGCTTATAGTCAAATCTAGCGGCTCGACGAAAAGAATCCAACGAGCCCAAGATCGTCAAATTATGATATCATTATGACATTCTAATGCCCAACAAATGGTCCACAATCAAGGGATTCAATATCACATGTCCATTCAAATCACTAACAATTTACCCATGATCTTTCTCCTACTTACTGGTCATGTCACTATCATAAAACTATAAATAGACCCCTCATTTCTCATAGAAAGGGGCCCAAAGAGGGGGAAGAAGGAAGCCCAAGCAAGAAGATAAGAGATTGAAGCAAGGAAGAGACTCCTCGACCAACGTCGGACTTTCACCCAGCAGATGACCGACACCAGAGTTCTGTCCGATCACCAACTGACGTCGGAATTAAGCATGGAAGTAAGAAGAGAAGGAAGAAAATTAAGAGAAGAAAGAAAGCTCTCTTATCATCAGACTCTTCTTTGACCACCGCCAAACTTCCACCCGTCACACCGGAGTTTTGTTTGAATGACATCTGATGCCGGACTTCTACCTAGCCATCGACTAACGTCGGACTTCTACTCGACTCCAAACTTCTGCTCGTCGCCAGACCTCTACCCAACGCTGGACTTCTACTCGACGTCGGATTTTTGCTCGACGTCGGACTTCTATTCGACGTCGGACTTCTACCCGTCGTCGGACTTCTACCCGTCGTCAGACTTTCATCGGACTTCTATCTGACTCCAGACTTCTATCTATTAACAGACTTCTAACAAACGCCAGACTTGCACCCATCTCCGGATTCCTATTTAACATCTTACTTTCATCTGTCATCAAAATTCTGTCGGACTTCTACCAGTCGTCGGATTTCTGCCCGTCACTGAATATTCATCAGACTTCTATCTAATGTTGGACTTCTATCTATCACTGAATTTTTATCTAACATCGTCCTTCCAACCTCCGTCGTCCGACAACAGTCTTTATGACCTCAATCGCCCGCCAACTACAGTCTTTTCAATTTACGTTACCCGCCGACTACATTCCTTCTGACTTATGTCGCCCACCGACTACGACCCTTCCGACCAAGCAAACATGTCAACAATGATACTTCTAATTTCCACCATGTAACATACTCTATATGATGTATATTTGTTACATAAAGACAAGGCCTTCCTTCCAATGAAGGGCATCATTTGTAATCAACTGCAAATACTAGTAGATTCACTCAAACTAGGCTAGGCCACGTGGTTTTTCTGACTTTTTAGGGATTTTCACATAAAAATCTTGGTGTCTCTTATGAATACTGCACTCTCGCTCTTTCATCTAATTATGTGCTGGATCTTCATACAATGTTAAGACGTTAAACTTTATTCTTCTCTACCGCCATGAATATTCCAAGGTGTAGTGTCACAATAATAATATGAATTTATAGTTAAAAATTTTAAAAAAAAGTACATATAGATAATATTTTTAATAATTTTAAATATAAAAAATAATTTTTAATTCTGATTCACATTTGATATAAATTTAAATGATGATATTTGATTGATATTCTTAGGAATTATTATAAGAATTTCAAGCTTATTAAAAATTTAAGTATCTTAAATTTAAATTAATTTGTCAAATTATGAATATTATTTAATATTTTATCCTTAATATATTAAATTTAATTATTTAATTATTTAAATAATTTTGCAATTGATTTAGTAGGTTCAAAGGAACCAAGACTGCTTCATTTCGATCTAATTCAAAAGTAGTTTTCAACAAGGGCAGACCTATGCTTGCTTGCCCACCCTCAAAATTTTAATAAATTTAATTTTAGTAATGATATTTTTAGTAATTCATTCTCCACCGACAACCCTATTTTGCCTAAATGAGAATTTTTTTTTTTTGAAAATTCATACAAGTTGTATAAGACATAATTGAAACTTCTAAACTTTGTTTAAGGTAGAAAATTATATACAATAGTTATAATTTATATAGATTTATTATTTTAGAATTAATTTTACCAGTTGCTACTATTATAGTTGAGTCAACATTTTCTATAATGAAAATTATCAAACATTAATTACGTAGTAGGATATATGATGATAGGCTCAATGACTATCTAGTGCATGATATAGGAACATATGATGACAATCAAATCAATTACTTTTTCCTTCAAGTTTTAGTGTGAAAGATTCAGTATTCTCTATATAGTAAGGGCAAGCTAATTTTTCTGCTGTGCTCCAATCAGACAACATATCATAAGCTAAAAAATCGCCAATGATCAAAGCAATGTAGCTTTAAGGAGATAATTTTATTTGGTTGAGAAGTCATATGTGAGGACATCTTCTTCCCATAAGAACTTGAGATCATTAATTAATTGTTGCAAAAAAATATTAATTTTTACTTTTAGATTATGTGATCCATGTATTATGTGTTAAGAATATGTACGGTGTAGTCATACACATCTTTGGTGGAAGTTTGTATGGTGTTAGTATAACTAGGTAACAAGAGTACAATGAAGCTATCTGACTTTATAGAGTGAAACCATCAGTACATAATCTCAATCTTATGTTACGTGGCTCAGCAGCAAATGAAGCATGCATGCGATCAAAATGTTTTCACGTTTCAGCATATGAGGGATGAAAAAGAACATAACTATTTGCTAATTTATCTTTATGTCATCTCATATGACCTGCTGAACTCATGGATGCATAGAGTCGCTAAAGTGTTGGAATGATTAGTAAATAAAATAAAAGAGAATATGGAACAATTTTCTTTTATCAATATTATTTTCCCGAGTTTGGTTTAAACCTAGGAGCATTGCAGCTGCGACAATAAACTTCTATTTACATCATCCTTGTAATATAACATAAATCTATTTATAAAACAATCAATTTTTATAGCAGTGAGACCAAGCTTGAATATTAATTTCTTTATTCGATACAAATCTATGAGGATTAAATTATCCACTAGATATGTTTTCTTGAGAAGACTAATAAAGTCATTAAAATAATCATGAAGAATATTATATTTAGTTTTGATACTTAGCATCCTTACAATAATCGATAATTTTTAATGAGCTTTGTAATCATCTCAAATTAGTTTTTTAGCTATATGTAATAACTCAACAAAATTTGGTTTTTGTATTTGGTGGATCTTCTACGCTAGCCCTTGAATTAGGATCTGTTACATCAAAAATAAATTCTTCATATGGTTTATTTATTTGATCTTCATCAACTATTTTAAAACTAGTGGATGGACTGATATGAGCATCTCTGTATGGCTCGTACTCATCATGTGAGATCCAAATCTAGTAGTCTGAAATAAATCCCCTACGATATAAATCAACTTTTACATTATCGGGCTTCAAGAATGCTTGATTTTTATGCTTCAAACATTGATATCTAAACATTCCATCAAACTTAAATGAAGGTAGTTGAGATACAACTTGAATAAAAGTCTCAACTCCCTACATAAATTCATCTGTCAATTCTCTTCAACCCGATAACAATCTATTATATATCAAATATCTATCTTCTTTAATAATTATTTAGATGTTAAAGCAAACATTCTCTACATAATTATGAAATCAATTATTAGAAAATATGCAGCCTTAATCTCGTTTAAATCTAAGAAAGAAATATTATTTCTAATATTTTCTAACCAAGTCTTTTTAGGTCTACCTTTACCTTTCTTAAAATAGGTCAAATCTAATACCTCTGCTTTTCTAACCGGGTCATCGGAAGGCCATCATTTTAAGCGACCAAACCATCTAAGGTAACTTTTTGTTGATAATATCCCCATCTATTTAATCTTCACTCTGAACAAGATATCCAATATATGTAAAATGTGTACTCTTATTAATGACTTTATCACCCAAATTCACAATCCCCTCATGCGAGAACCTTTAAAATTTAAGATAGATATACATAATTCAAGTTTACCTTGAACTCCCTCTCTAGTCTTACCAATAAGAAGAATATCATTGGAAAAAACATACACCAAGATAAATCCTCTTGCAAAATGTCTATTAAGAACATCTATGATTAAAGTAAAAAATATATGGGCTTAAGGTTGACCCTTGATGTAATCAAATTGAAATAGGAAAATACTTGGTCAAATTATTTAGTGTTTGAACAGAAGTAATAGCTCTTGCATACATATCCTTAATAACTTGAATATAATCATTATTAATATTTTTCTTTTCTAGAACTTTTCATAACAGTTCTCTTGGAATTTTATCATATGATTTCTCTAAATCAATAAATATCATATGCATGTCCTCATTACTCTCTATGATTAAAGTAAAAAGATATGGACTTAATATTGATCCTTGATGTAATCAAACTAAAATAGGAAAATACTTGATCAAACCATATAATGTTTGAACACAAGTAATAGCTCGTACATACATATCCTCTTGCAAATGTCGAGTGGGAACATCCATGACTAAAGAAAGAAAAAGTAAAAGCATAGATATCACCTTCGGGCTGGGGCATTCGCAGGTTGGGAACGTAGGCTAGAGTGAGGGCGTCACTGGGCAGAGTGAGGGCGTCGGCAGCTAGAGTGAGGGCATCGATGGCTAGAGTGAGGGCGTCGGCGACCAGAGTTAGGGCGCAGTGGCCAGAGTCCTGCGGACGCAATCGGAGGTGAGGGCAAGAGCTGCATCTTGATGAAAAATAGAATGTAAAGAAAGTA